ACAGATCAATTCACTGAAATCGAAGGTCTCAGGAAAAGTTTTATAACTCTCGAATAGAACCAACTAGGAATGTTGGCCTTGTGCAGATCGAAAGAGAAGACTTTTTCTATTACGTAGTCCTATTAAAAATCTAAATCAATAGGAAAATAACTTCAGAATATTGTTTTCGAAAAAAATTCCCAGCAAGAATTCACTTGATTGTCCAATTTCTGCTCAATCAAATTTCGATATATTTCAATGGCTTTGGAGTTTTTTCCCTTGAATGATGAAAACCGCAGGTTTCTCTGAGGTTCCTATCGAAAGTTATTCAAAAAACCAATGAGGCACATTATATTTTGAAATGGATAGTAGTCATAAATACTAATACGGCAGAATTTCTTATTATTTGTAAATAAAATCAATCTCGAAACTTTTTAACATGACCTACTTTTAATTCAATAATTTTCATAGAAATACTCGTTCTGCTGCATCAGCACGTCAAAGATCAACGTCATCTGCCATATCTAATGATGCAGCCATAGAATTATTTTATGCTAATCGTTCTCGTCGTCTTTTGTGTGATCCAGCGTATGCACGTGAAGAAATATCATTATTTGCTCGTCGAGCTGCTGAACGTCTTCATGAACGATTACCACGTATGTCAAGTGTACCACATCGAGTTAAAATTGTTGATGAACGTGATACAACTGGTAAACCTGATGAACGTACATTATTACAAATGAAACATAAACGTGCTTTATCATTAATAAATAAACGTCGTCATATAATTATTAAAATGATGACACAAAGTAAAAAGAATGAAATTAAAATGGAACAACAATGGAAACAAACTCCAATAGCTCTTGATAGTGCTGCTTGTTGTCGAGAATTACTTGAAAGAGCTAATCAAATTGATCAAGTTTATGGAGAAAAAATAATTAGACGACCTCAAACAGCACTTGTTTCACGAAGAACACCTAGTAAAAATATTTCTTCGTCTGCTTCTTCTGTCACAGCGACAAAAAGTACAAATATAACACCTTCATTTTCATCACGTTCAACACCATTTCATGATGCTCTTTCTATCGAACATGTAGGAAAAACAAAAGATGTTCGTGTTATTTTACCAACACGTCCACTTACAGCACCAGTTAAAGTCAATTGGGTTAATTATTGTTAATAAATTTCTTTAATATTGATTAATCTTATCAATTTATTTATTTCAGTTGAAAACTGATTTTTATTATGAGGAAAGAAAAAAATTTTAAACATAATAAATAGTAATAACTGACATATTTCAAATATTTTGAAAGATTTTATATGATTAAATCATATTCAGGAATACATATTTACATGATCCAAAGTTTTTGTTTTTTCTTTTTGTGACCATCATATAGTCTGAAGTAGTATCTATTTGTTGAGTACATTTTGAGGTCCAAAAATTATTTTTAAACGTAAAAAAAAAAAACTCAAAAAGAAATCAAGTAGTAAGTTCGACTGAGCTGAAATGTTTTTCTACATATATTATACACTGTTTGAGATGGTTATTATTTTTTTTTTGTTTCAAAAATATTGTTCTACCGATTTTTGAGTACCTCTTATTAAAAAATTATTCAAAAAAATATATGTTTTTTTTAAAGGATACTTTCAATATTCAGATTTTTTTATTCGAAACACAAAACATAGAAGGATGTCCATACCAAACAGTATCTAGTACCTTGAAAAGAAATTTTCAGCTTGATCAAAAATAACATTTCGAGGGAAACGAGAGCGAAAATTGTAGCCATTACGACTCCACCATCTCACAGAAAACAGGATCCAAAAATTTTTAGTCTATGACAACTTTGACTTTACTTGCCGAGATCTGTCTGCCTTGGAAATTTCAACCTTTTCTGATGAACCATTCTCCAGAAACCTTGGAAAGCGGAGTGGGGATATCCTTAAATTGTAGGATATTGAACTTCACCTTCAAGATGGAGCATATATAACAATTAATTGAATCATCAAGTTAAAGATGAAATATCAAATTATGGTACGCTGTTTAGCTTGATATAATAAACCTATGAGAAAGTTTGAATAAAACTAAGAAAAGCTGAAAAGTATTCGAACGAATAGCAATAATTCTTCATCAATTCGCTATATATTTGATTTCTTGTATATTTTTCTTAGTTTAATTGATACGAACGGATAGATATAATATGAAGTCGAACAAATCGAGAGAGATATTCTCGTTTAAATATATTAAGGCGTCGAGAACGATGACATTAAACGGATATTTATCTTCGTTCAGGACATTTTAGAGACCAGTATACAATAAAAGAAAATGCCTCTAAAAACCTCTATCGTTTTATTTAAATATGCTATCGAATCAATAGTACCTTTGGTATCTGAAATAACCCATCTACTGTGATCTTGCATAATAAAGAAAAATCATTAGGACCGAATTTTATGATCAACAGTTTTTTTTTCGATAGACTAGTAAAGCTGAGATCAAGTCGAAAAAGATTAATCCTACTCATATTTATTTACTTTCATTAAATGGACTGAGTAAATACATTTACAAAAGATTATCTGTAATGTCTTTTGGATAATGAAAAGATTCGAATAGCTGCTTCAGTCACTAACGTGATGATAAGAACACAAAATTTCTAATTGCTATTAGAACAATGATATAGTTTATATAAGTTTATATCAAAGCATTCAACTAATGCCTTTTTTTTTCATAAAATAGATCACATGTGTGGTTATCCAATATTAGTGAGATTTTTCTTCTCCAAAAATCTTATTAAATATAAAAGCATTTATATTTGTTGTTCTAGTATAGTTATTCTGACAAGAATGGATAAAATAAAAATTTCTTAAATCCACCATTCTGGTTCTTTTCCATATTTCCAATCAATATCATTGATATTTTTTTCTCCAATACCTTCCGATTTTCTATGTAATACAACAAGACCTCCACCACCAGATTGAGTACTTTCAATTTGTTGATCAATTATATTATAAAATTCTCGTTCAATTATATGATATTCTTTACGTTGGTTCCAATCATGTATAAATACTTTTGCATTTAGTCCATTTAATTGTTTCAATATAGCATAAGCAACTTGTGGTCGTGCACGTCCATCAAGAAAAGCAAAATCAAATTTTGTATTACGAAAATATATTGAAAGAAAATCGACATAATCACGATACATTGTATAAGTACTTCGTTTACTTGTTGCCCATAAGTAATAAGCTTTAAATGAATATGCATTTCTTGGTACACAATATATTTCAATATGTGAAGTTAAATTTAATTTATCTGGCTTTTGTTCAAAACAATGTTTTATATAAAATCCCGATGAATTACGTCCCATATAAAATATTTTAACAGATCGATGTGGTTGACTAATAGCCATACGTTCAAGTTCACGACAATAATGAGGACTATGCTCTATACTAACATAATAATCAACATAAGTACTGAAGAAAAATGTACTACTACCAGCACCATATTCAACCATAGATATTTTTTGTTCACTAAATAAATTTGAAATATAAAAGTTTATATTATCGATGAAAGAATTTTATTTGTAAATGAATATCTGAATGAAATATGCACAAATCATAGTTATTAGATTGATAAATAATTCTTTTTAGATATTCTTCAAAATTATTGATACTTAACACTAACGAAATTTCACTGGTAAACATCATAGTTAATGATTTACGTCTACATATCGTCAAAGGAGTAGAATAAAACTTACACCTAATACAGTGGTATGTACTAAGGGAAGTGTAAGGCGAGATTTCCCGTGTCCGTCTGTCCAGATCATGTTAGACACGTTAATAAGAATCCATTACAAACCACGACAGATATAACGACGAGAAAAGAAAATTATTTCTATTAGTAAAAGTATTTATTTCATAGTTCATATTGTTAACCTACAATGATTTTATTAACATCTGTTTTTTTTCCTTGACATATGATGGATTGTTTTTATGAATTTATCTAACATTGAATGCTAAAAACAATATTTTCATATTTCGAATTTGAACCGATAATAGATAAAGATTGTACAAGACAATCTTTTGTGCATGCTAACTAAAAAAGTGATTTCATCTCGTTTCAAATTGAAACATAAGAATATTATTAATAAGAATAAAAGAGAAGAGAAAACTTCTTCCTACAAGTTGATATTTGTCAGGCAAAATTAAACAGAAGTTTTGAAGGATTTTAAAAAAATAATAAACAAAGATTGAAAAAGATGAGAATGAAGAACTGATCTTATATACAGTGCTGCCCAAAATTATAAGACCAGCCTACTAGTTCGCTATTCTCTTCTTGTTGCTCGCTCTGCAAAGGATATATTCTATTGTAATTTACTCTCAAACATACATTTAGACGTGCTCTTTCAGAACATACTATAGTATGTTCTGAAAGAGCACGTCTAAATGTATGTTTGAGAGTAAATTACAATAGAATATATCCTTTGCAGAGAGAGCAACAAGAAGAGAATAGCGAACTAGTAGGCTGGTCTTATAATTTTGGCCAGTACTGTATTTAGATTATATTCAACTTTAATTGAAATTTATTTGAATCTAGGAAATTGTAGAGTTCGCAAGTGTATTTAATCGAAATCCAGTTTGTCTGAGCAAGCTCCAACCAAAATAAAAAGAAGTCACTTTTTTTAAACTTAAGCCTTTTGAAAAACATTTTTTTATCAATGTTTATTTATCTTCGAATTTAACTTAGTTCATAGATGTTCAGCTTGTTTATATCTTGTGATGTTTTATCTCTGAATTTAATATTTCAAAAATTTAAAATATTAATTTACTCGTTCATAAAAATACTTTCGAAAATCATATTCTGATACCAACCCAGAAGAAGTCATTAGTACATACATTACAATATGAATAAGTGAAAATAAAAATTCTGGCTAGTTCAAAAAAATATTTGTTTAATACAAGTCAAAATTAGAATTTATTTTTAAATAAAAGAAAAATAATTTCGTAAACATATCCTGTCTTTAGGATTTTGATCTGAAAAATCTCTTTGATTGTTTAGAAAAAAAAAAACTTTTAATTAAAAATTATGAAAATAAATGAGATATAAGCAAAAGATTCTAATGAAAAATTACTACGCTTAGACATAATAAGAAACTCAAAGTATTCTGTTACATGAAAGAATTTATCATCAAATATATGATTAGTATGCCGACTCAAACTATAACGTTTCATATTACCTTCGTTCTCGTTTTAATTTCTGAATATATTTCACTACTAGTTCTTGTTCTCGTGGATCCATCCATGCTTGTGTAGGTGGAAGTCGTGTAAATAAAAGATATACTTCGAAACAAATACGTTTAATATTATTACAAATAATTATAAATATGAATAATAAAATATCGACTAAAGGAGATATTAAATGTAATATCAATTGAAAATATTGATTTTGAATTAATCGATTTAAATATATTTGCATTTGAAATAAATTTTTATTTTATTTTTTTTATTAATCAATCTATAATATAAAATGATTCTAATAATTAATTTGAAATTGTTACATATATAGTTCAAGGTTGTGAAAGAGAAAGAAAAAAAAGAAAGAAAAATAGAATAGTGATAATCATCATTGAAGTAACTTGAAAGACATTTTCTTCTACTAGAAAGAAAGAAACATCATTGTTGAAACATTTAACGACAGAAAAGTACAAATACTTCAGATAAATGGGAAAGAAAAAGTATGAACAAAAAATAAAAATTATGAATAATGTGAACACAAAATAGAGAACGAAGTGAATATATTTCTCTTCCTTTTTTTTATTATAAACGCAAGCAAAAAAAAAACAGAACACGTGAATATCAAATTATAGAGCTATATATGCAAATGTATTTCATACAGCTTATAAAAATGTAATAAATGATTAATACATGCTGCCTATAAAGAGTATGAAAGTAAAATAAAGATCAGAGACCTTAGGTACACAATATTCGTATTAAAGGATAGAAAAGAATGAATAACCTCGAGATTTTTTTCATTTCATACTCTATACTGTCTTCTCTTATTTTTATAACATTCAATGCAATCAGAATAACTTACTAATGGTTGACATAATTTCTATTATTTTCATATAAAATTCTTCCAAACGAACTGTTATGCTTAGTAGTTATATCCGTTAATATAAAATGAATATATATTTTCTTACTACTTGTTAGTCAATGTCATTGAATAGTTTCAATATATAAAAAAAAAAAAAAGATAGCAGCTTTGCGTGTGAATATGAAGAATAGAAGAAAAAAGAATGAATCATTTTTTTTTTATAATGGTATTTATTCATGTCTGCTTTTGTAAAGGTTCCTTGGTTTTTTTTTCTCAAGATTTATTTTGTACAAACACTTATAAATCATACAAAACTAAAGTTTATTTAAAATTCTAAGAAAAAGTAAAGAATAAATTTTAAAATTTTTCTTTTCTATTGTTTTTTTATCAAAGTTAAAAGTAAATCTATACAATAAAAAGTTTTTTTAGTCAATATTTGATTTTAGTGTATAAATTATTTTATCTTAATTGATGTTTTTTTTTTTTTTTACTTTGAAATTTTACGCAGACTAATTTATTCAATGAATTTATTTATAAAATTGAACTCTTTTTTTTTTTAATAAAGAAAACAATTCTATATAAGGTATAACTGAACAAACACAAGATAGAATCATCGATGATCAATATAGATATATATTTTCATTATATTTTATAGTCATTTAGATTATCAATTAATCCGACTTATCTATTCAATATAACGTACTTTTTTTTTTTTTTGTAAACAATGAGTAAATATTGTTTCAATTATGTCTTGCTATTTTTCGTTCCTTGAATGTGTATCAATAACAGGAAAATAAAACATTTAGATCAAAATATGGTAATATTTTGATTTATTTAAATAATATCAAGGTGAATTACATAGTTCGCATTCTTCTGTTTTTTTGAATAGAAAAAATTGACATGAAAACTAAAAATAAAATTTCTTTCTCATATTAATAATTCTGACATCTATTATTTTCATTAATTTTAACTTTTATTAATATTTCTAAAGTAAGTTACATATAATCAATATTTGTTCATCTTGATCCTAGAACAGTGTCTTGTTTTATAAATATAAATTTTCTTTTGTGTTAACATGCAAATGGTAAATTATATAAATGATAAACTAGGGAATAAGCAATAAAACATATACCAACAGAACGAAAGAAAGAAAAGAGAAAAAAAAAAGACAGAAGAATAACAATGTTATATTCATATAAATATAAGAAAAACAAACAAAAAAAAGAACATTAATAGTTTTTACATGCCAGTTCTTTTTCTTTTTTTCCTAACTAACATTCGCTAACATGACTAAAAACGAGTATACGTATGAAATTATCGACAATGAAACAGATGCACGTTATTGTGCACAACTTATTGCTGAAGAATTTTCTGCACACAATCCTATAACATATTTCGAACAAATAACACCAACATATTTTTTTCATGAATCTTCATGGCCATTAATGAAAGATATGTTTCCTGAACATTTATCATTTCTTGTACGATATCGTTCTACAGGTGAAATTATTGGAGCTTTAATTGCCGGTGATTTATATTTACAACATGAAAAACAACAATTAAATGATATTTCAAATATGTTACATAGTATTCCTATTGATAATTTACTTGAAGAAATGGATAATTTATTTGTATCACGTGATTTTAGACAAGAATTAAAATCTAATATGGTTTTACATATACAAATGTTAGCAATTCGTATACAACATTCAGGTGAAGGTATAGGAAATCAAATGATCAAAGCAGTATGTGATAATGCACGTAATAAAAAAGGATTTCAATATGTACTTGCTCAAGTAACAAATGATGCTACACGACATATATTTTTAAATAAAATGGGCGGAAAAGAAGTAACAATTATTGATCCAACAACATGGATTTGGAAAAAAAAAGATGATGAATTCATATGTCCATATAAAGATTATAAAGGTGGTTTAATACCAAATATTCTTATTAAATTATAAATAGATAAGAATAAAAACGAATTAGTCAAAACTTTTTTTTTTTTTTTCGTGCTTTTAAATGCATTATTTTTCATATTATTAGAAATGCTAGTTTAATAAAGGAAAAAGAGATGAAAAATGATTTTGTGTGATTGAAAGAGGAAATCGATATCCATTGAGAGGAATAGATGTCTATCATTAATAATGAAAATTAATATGTTTTATCATAGATAGCTTTCATAGATTGCAAACAATTAGTCATTCAATATTTGCATATGTTTTATCGTTATTTATGTTTACGATAGTAAACATTTCTTTCGTTTGCACATATTATTCTAAAGATATTCATGAAAAACAGTTGATAAAATTTCTTTTATTTCTTTTATCAATATTCTCTATTAATGTTCAATAACATAGATTTCAAATCATTTAAAACTAAATAATTATAAGTCTGTTCAGAAACAATCCTAAGCTGAACAAATACATTCGTAAACGACCATCTACAGTGATAAACAGAAATCATACACGGTCTTCATGCACGATGAGCGTATACCAAGAGGGAAAATGCAAATTCTGGGACTTCATGAAACTCTAACCCATGTCCTAGAAATCGCTGAAAAATTGACAATTAATCGCGATATATCGAAAGGATAACCGTGAGCTGAAACGCGATCAATTGCCAGTTTTTTATGATATTTTTCGCGATTATTATGATAAATCGCGATTTATTCCCGGATTATTCTAGATGTTAACCATGGTATTATCGTCAATCTGATCCAATATTATCGCAATTTTATTTATTGTGTATTAACAGGATCTATTTTTTAGTCCAGCGTTTATTTCAAAAAAAATATCGACTATTTTGATCACATCTTATAGTAAAAACAAGAAGAAAAGCTGTTAATGTAATCCTTGTAGGATTAAAATGTGAAACACGATCTAGGTTCTATCGCTAATCATACAAAAATTGCTTTATTCAATCTATTTTAGGACAAGGTTTTTCATGATTGTTTACAGACTTTTTTCGAGTTCCAATAAGATAGTTGATAACGAACCCGTCTGTCACAGCTTGTGATAGTGAAGAGGGACTAACCTCTGACACGGGCTGTAATGGAGAGGGGGAGGGGGGGAGCGTGGGTGGGTGAAAATTTCTACCCTGTATACCTCAACACTCCTTTTAGATCGTGTTTCACAAAAGATTTTTTTTTCGCAACTGAAGGCATGTTTTTTTTTTCGATGATTGTTATAATATTTAAAGGTAGTGGTTTCATGTTAGACATTTATATATTAGAGACAGTAAAAAGAAGAGAAAAGTTCGTACTTAACTGCATTTAATTAGGTGTATCTTAAGAATATATCACAACTAATTGTAGAACTTCTGAACTATTTCAAATTTACTATCAACGTATGCCAAGAGCATATTAAGTAATTCAATAAGAATTATTTCTGCACGAGATATTGTCATTCAAATCAAAAAAATTATTGCTTTACTCAAACAAACATATCCTCAATGTAATCGGCTTGAGAAAATTACAATTTCGTTAGTATTTCCTTGTTTTAAAACAATACATAGATTTTCAACAAAAGAATCTCTAATATCCAACATTGAATTTTACAATGAACAATTAAGACAATTATCATTCAAAATGAACTTTAACACCATTAATTTTCGTATTACTACTAAAAATCATTTTCTTATTATTTCCTATGGAAAAATCATTTTTGGGTCTTCAATCAAAATGTTGTATCTCAGGATAAAAAAAAACGTTGTAGAAAGTTCTTCACTTTAAAGAGAATTGTTTTCTTTATCGTTCCATATAGTCTAAACAAAATTATATTTGTGTTTTCCATCAATTTGAAAAACTAAACTTTTGGTTTTCCTATAGATCTTGTCTTTGAATATTTAAGAAATATTTACATCTTTGTTAAGACTTTTTGTTCTTTTTAGTATTTAAGATTGCAAGAAAACAGTTGAACAGTAGTCATTGTAGTGTGTTGTTCACGACAATTGAGTGTACAATGTGAGAGCAATGAAACGATTTGACTGTTCATTTTCGTAAATAGCTTGACAGAATGAAAATATTTTGTTGTTTTCAAATAGAAAGTATTCAATCTCGAACGTGTGAGTGTCTTGAAAGTTGCATTTGAGTTTTCGAAGTATGTTCATTGGATGGATGATATTGTGAAATATATGGAATTCAAAAGAATAGGAAAACTAAACAATTTCGATCAAGAAATGAAGTCGCAATCAATTAAATCTTTACATGCAAATCCTTCCTGACAGTGAAGGACCTAGCATCTCCTATTATGCCTAAGTGTATAAAGTTTTTAGGGAAGTCTTCTATTATATCTCATTTGTTTTCATAATTTTTAATTAAAAAAGTTTTTCAAAAAAATTAAAACGATTTTTTTGGATTCAATCAGATACTTTGAGAGTTTTAAAAGTCTAGAAATCATGTTGATCTCTGTCGTTTAAGATTTGTCAGATCAAAATCCTGAAAACTAGGCATATTTTGATGTAAATATACTCAGTAAACTTTCAGTTTTTTCAAGATATTAATTAATTAATGAGAATATTCGATTACATGTGATGTATTGTTTCTCTGAGGGAAAATCTTCTATTCTAAGGAGACATTTCAATGAGACAATAAATAAATTATACAAATTTTCTGTTCTTCAAAATATCCTACTACTTTTATTATATGGTTTTAATCTATGAATGTTTAAAAGTAGTTCTTGCAATAAATTATTATAACCAGTGATACAATTTCAAATTTGATTTATACATATCTATTAAACGATTTTATAAATTGTGAAACAAACCTATATGAAAATTTCATCTATCGAAATACAAACTGTCATCATTCCTCTTGATTTATACATACAATTTTTTATTAATAAGAAAATAAATTTCATTTTCTTTACTTTATTCAAACAATCAATTTTATCAGTTCATTTAATATTCCCATGACTAGTGTAGTTTGTTTCATTTATATAATCATCACAAAATGTGCAGTTTTTTTCCTTTCTTTACTTTCACCATAATCCACATGATTGGCTACGCTTGATTGAGTATATAAAAAAAAAAGATAACGATTGTATTTAAAGCCCTTCGAGATAGAGTATTAACATACATACAGCCAGTCGCTGTTTTATATCGTCATCTAAAATCATTGAATAAGTTTTATTTTACAGCATTTTTATCATAGTTATGAATTACGTATTCTGTTAAAATTTGACTCAAGTTCAATATTTTTGGTATGGTTTTTGAATTATTAATATTGATGTATTTTATACCATAGTCAACATTTATTCATGAAGAAAACAACATCCACTTTCCTATCAATCAACATATACTAATTGTCACTAAGGACACGAACAATGGACCAATTGCTATTTATAATTCGCCGGTTTCTTATCTTACAGTGGACAAAAGTCGATTTAACATTTATGAAATAACACCAACTAATAAAAATTTATTATCCCGATTGCTAAGCAAAGCGTGTCAATAAATGTTTTATCAATTATTCAACAAAAATATATTCAACAGCTTTCTATATTAATTATATATATTTTGATCATTAACGGTAAGAATTATGTTTATTTATTTATTTTCTATCGAACTGATGTTATTTAAAACAAGACTTGAATAGGATTCAATTAAGAACGTTTTTTTTTGTTATTTTTGTTGATAAGTTCATATGTTTGCTTTTGTGATATTTTATTATTACAAAAGAAAAGAATAAATCAATTTCATAGTATTCATTTAGTCAACTTGCAATTTTTTACAGATTTTTTGATACTTATGTTCTAAAATTTAATTAACACATGACTTGTGACTTAACGATCTGATTTTCATCTTAGAATTCTTTATAAAACTGAAGAAACTTAAATTTTTTACTATTTCTCATTATTTAATTCTAAGATCGAATATTATATAATAAAATTTCAATAGTATATTCTTCTCCAAAGCATAAATGCGAAACTTATCTATTATTTTCGACATTGATATATTATAGACAAAAATTTAAAATGGCAAAAATACGAAGATTAATCATTATCTCAAAATGGTAGGATATGAGTTCTTGTAGACAATCGTTTAATACCTATGTATTTCAAACAAAAATTTCAAACTGGTTAGTACAAACTAATCGAGAGTTTAGAAAAGTGATTGATAGGCGTATATCTTTGTTAGAAAATTAAATGTAATTTAATCATTCTAAAAAAAATGAAATTTAAAATTTTGTTTTGTTAGAAGATTTTTCAATGAATTCTCATATACGTAACAATTAGAATATTATTTCTAAAAATCAAAATTAATAGAAAACATCATACTGTTCAAAATTCATAGTTTCAACCAATGCAGAAATATTTATAAATTTTATCAAGAAAAACAACAATTTTTTACGTCTCAATAAATTTTTCAAAAAAAAAATTATAACTTTAAAGTTTATTTGTTTATATTCCTAGTGGAAGATAATATCCGTTGTATTAATTCTCTTGCTTTTTTTCGAAATTTCTCGTTAAGTACGAAAGTTTAATTAACATAGAAGTTTCTGTAGTTTGTAATGAATAAATTCTTCGATATATATCAGAAAATCTATCGGATAGTATTTACACTTCATAGTAACACATACTAATCTTTGTGATTAGTATATATGAGAAACTCAAGTGATTGTTGAAAAAACAAGACATACTAAATTGCAGTAGTTTTCGAATCCGATTACAGTTAAAGAAAATATATTGAAAAGTTCATTTTATTTTAACAAAAGTAACATCGTTTGCTTTTATTTTAGCTCTTACATTACTATTGGTATTCTACGATGAACGCTTATATGGATTGTCTTCTTCGTCTTTATTTACAAGAATTTTCATAAATGATAAATTTGTTTTGTTTTTTATTTGAATACTTCAACAGTTTAGAACTATTCAATTTGGAATTTCATTTACATATTATTCTCCCATATAAATTCTATTACTAATGTATATTCTCACAATCTATTCAATTATCGATTTTTAATAAAATCAATTCATAATGAAAATAATTATTATCTTCCAGCGAAGTTTTATTTCTCTTTGGATACTTAAACGACAACCAATGGATGTATCTATTGCTGGTGCACTACAATTAATGTTCTATGATCACAACAACACGCATTGGTTTATATTAGAATATATAATTGACCTAATGATAAATTGTTCATGGCAAATGTATTTACCCGAAAATGGACTATTGCAGACCCAACGGTTATAATATTACATTCACATGTGGATCAGAGTCAAGCGTTAATTTAGATATTAATTTAATTGATATTTATACAACGAATTCAACTTCTAATGGATGTATGGGAATTATTAATATACAGTTGCTCCAAAAAGTATTCGAACACACCGTTTTAGTCTCATACAAAGACTTTATTCAAAAAAACTCTTTAGAAAGGTGAATTATTGTGAAACTTATATAAGATAAAGAGCTTTGTTTGCCTTTATCCAGTGGTGATATTTGAATAAAAAAAGCAGCATGTTTTGAGATTGAAAGTAAATTTTTTTCGAAAAATGATGATGAGATTTTCGAAAAAAGTAGATGCCTGACAAATTCGGTGGTTCACTTCAATTAAAAACTGTATATGCAATCTTATAGAGCAGCTCGCGGCGCATCAAATTGTATATAGCAAATTAGATTTTCATCAAGTCTTGCCGCATTAGGAATCCATACACTGCTCGGAATGTGCAGTGGGTGAGAATTCAAGAAAATCCATTTCTCATATCGAAAAAATAATAAGTAGCTCTACAAAAGGTTCTCAATTCCAGTCTGTTTTATAGTTTTGATGCCAGCCACGGTCGGCAATCCTCTAGTGAACGCAAAATTTTGCAGTGCATACTTTCATGCAATAAACGGAACAAATACTAAAAATTGGTCAGGGTGTCCGGATACTTTTCACTCGTTATGTGTCTCTAAGAAGTATATGGATTCTTAATGCATCAAGACTTGATGAAAATTTGATTTGCTATATGCAATTTGATGCGCCACGAGTTGCTCTACAAGATTGCATATGCAATTTTTTAATTGAAGTGAACCACCGAATTTGTCAGACATCAACTTTTTTCGAAAATTTCATCATTTTTCGAAAAAAATCTACTTTCAATCTCGAAACATGTTGCTTTTTCTATTCAAATATTACCATTGGATAGAGACAAACAAAGTTCTCTATCATACATAAGTTTCACAACAATCCGCCTTTCTAAAGGTTTTTTTTGAATAAAGTCTTTGTATGAAACTAAAACGGGGTGGTCGAATACTTTTTGAAGCAATTGTATATCCATGTTAAACTCCATTGCCATCGGTCAAAATTGTCTATGTAATTTTTTCATAGTGAATAACATCGCAAATTGTGTTCACTAAAACTTGAAAACTATTAGACAGCTCTGTTCTCGTGCATCTTAGACTTTCTATGAGTGTTGGTATTTACTGTTGGATTCAATAAACTGTAGCGGACATCATAAATTCTTTTTATCATTCTGTCATAGAGATAGTGAAATATAGCCAGGATTGTCTCGTTTAGAATAAAAGTAATTTCATCGTAGTTGTAACTTGTCAAATCTATTTTGTGCAAAATAAATCTACTAACTGAATCAATTAATAGTTCATTATTATAGCATCCATGCTAGATTTCATAGATACGAAAACTTGTTTGTTTTTCTGTTAGTGGTGGTTCATCACCATCCTTCCTCAATGTCTTTTCACCTTTTTTCTTTCTTTCTTTTCACTGTTATATTGCTGTTTCTTTTCTTCTCTATAACTTTTCTCTATTGTGTTGTGTGATACATATTTATGTACAACTTGTTAAGGTTATTTTTAGAAAAGAATATAACTAAATAAAATAAACTTAAGCTCGTCGTTTACGAACTAACATTTTCTCTTTCCTAAAGAAAAGAGTTTCAAATCGTTCATTGTTGTTTCACTCTGCTATTCGATTGATCAGCTTGTCCGGCTAACGATCAACCAACATGGTTTAAGTTGCATAGCGAAATCCTCGGACACGACAGAGTCGACTGCATTCGCTTAGAATTTTTAAGAAGGTTTTTGTATATTCTGCGTCAATCTATGTCATTTGTTTTTTTTATAATTGCGAGAATAGATGGTGGTTGTTAGCCAAAGTGAAGCATTTTGATGCAAAACTGGCTTGAAAATGCACATTTATCTTATATTATATTTCAATCATTATTTTATCTCAGACAAAAATGCGAACATTAATAGTCATGTTGATGCGCTCAATCAACAGTTTGGCATTAGTGGATTACTTTCTGTTTTTTTCATGGTTATAAAAATATAATTTTTCAAGAACTGTATACTACCGACTTGCCGAAACTTCGCCAATAGGAATTTCGCAAATCGGACTTTCACCATTGGCGAACGTTCACTGGTTTTTCACCAATACACCTTCTGTACTTTGGCCAATTGGCGAAAATCCGCTGAACTTTCGGCAATGAATGTTGATACTTTCGTCAATATTGGTGAAAGTCCATCGAGCTGTTATCTATTTGAATATGTCTCTGTCATCGACTAAAAACATTAGTATCTAATATACTCTCTCTATTCGTTCGCTCTCTTCTATATTTTATTATTATACCTTTGTTTTAAATTTCTTCGACATAGACAAAAATGGCTCATTTTCGTGATATTGAACGAATACAAATAATGATCATTTGAAAACAAAAAAATCTTTGCAATAAAGAATTACACTATTTTATAAACATATGTTTATTAAATAACTGTATCATATAGAAATATCGAACAGTGTAGATTACATACAAATGGGAACGTTCGGATGATTTTCCCTCAGTTGTTCTTCCTGTGTTGTAATAACGAGATAATATTTTCATTAGTGATATTTCATTCAATTTATTTCAATATAAAAACTAAGAAAAAGAATCGCTTGTATTAATTAGAAAAAAAAACGAAGCGTCTCAATGTACAGAAAAATAAGAATATAAAACGTTTTGAATTAGATGAATAATATTTTAAAAGAAATATAAGTTAATCATTAAGAGACCTATACCAAAACTAAAAGTATTTGTTAACATATTTCTTTTAGCTTTATTACAAAGATTCGTTTGACAACACCATTGACCATTACCAACTGTACCATATTCTGCGCATGTAGATTCTATACTTCGAGAAGTATTATAAGCTGCCGATCTTTTCTAATTAATATCAAAATATTTTAATTTAAGTCCATATAAAATAAAATAAACTTACTGAACAATACAATATTCCAGTATTATTTATAAATGCTATTTGAACATAATATTGATTGAATGGATCATTACAGCTGGAACATGTATAACAAGCAAGACCGTCAATCATTGGATTCCAAGCTAAAAAATAATATATTCATTTTGATTATCTTTTTTTTTTTTCATATTTGTTAACTTACTAAGTAAAAGAAAACAAACAATAGCAATAGGTGAAAGTTTATACATGTTTATATGGAAGAATATATTGAAAAAATGATGTGATTCGAATTGAGATCAAGAATAAAAAAAAAACATCAATAGAGAGAAAGATATTTATGATGACAATAATCAATTTTGTACTCGACATGCATAGAAAGTATTAAAACAAGTCATAAATTTGTATTTTTCCTTATGTTATTCACGTCGTTTATGTATTTATTAATTTTATATTTATGTGTGGCAATCAATCATTATTGAAATATTCATTCATAGAGAGTCAAAGATTTTATGAAAAAAAAAAAAACATGATTTCAAAAATATAAACAATTGAATAAGCATTTAGAAAAGATTTCATTGTTTATCTATAAGAATAAAAACCATAAATAACTTTCAATTATTCAACTTATTTATCAGATTAATTTGTATGTGTCAATTGTCCTCTGAAAATATTCAAGTCACGCATCGATTTGTGATGTCTTACACTTTAATAAATGAAAGATCAAGGACTATGATTTTCAACATATAAATATGATTCATTTTTTGATAATATTTTGCATAACCTTGAAACGACATTGATGATTTTGTATATATTATTCAAGATGTACGTTTAAATCCTACAAAAAAAAAAAAATATTTTGCTTTTGAACAATAAAATGAAAAAAATGAATTAAGATAATAATGTAATATTAAGATTTATGTTTCTTTTTCATATAATATATAATTTATTTTTAGACATCGAAAGCATACAAGTATTAAGTATTGTAGTACAAAATAAGAAAAATCATGAAAAACATTTGACAACAATTTTTCAAGTATATTCGAGAATGAAACAGTATATCTCAGGACAAAAATCTCTGCTGCTTCCTTCGTGATTTCATATTTTTAATTCATATAATAATTGGTTTTTTTTTGTCTTTAATAATCAATAGATTTATCTGAAAGAAAAATTTCAGTATGATTTCAACAAAACTCTAATAAATTGTTTTGTTAAAATTAACAAAAGTTTCTGATCACTTATTGAGTAAATTACTTGTTTTTATAATATAACTTAACTATTAAGTAAATTATTATAGGAATCAAACCTTATCGAAAAGCTTTAAAATCATCTTTATCTATATTATTTGTCGTATAGTTTAGTAAAAAATAATAATAACAAAAGTTTTCTTTTTCAATTAATCCTTTTGAAAATACAATATAATCGTATTTGTATCATTTCTTCAAGATATTTTGAGATTCTTTCAAACTATTGCTTTCTACAATTTTCATGAAATAAAAAACATCGTAATTGTAAGGATAAATAAAATAAAAGAAATAAAATAATTAGAAAGTTATGAAAGAGATACTTGTGTTAATGAAATCGTATACATAGCAGTGTTCAATAAATATGATCAGTTTAGAATTTTATTCGTTGTTGAATAATCATTTTAATGAGAAATGTAGCAAAAACAAAAGTGACACAAATTTAATGATATATTAAATATTTGAAAGACAGGGCAATAGACCAGATTTATCTCTTATTATTATCTATTAGTTGTTGATGGGTAGCTTAAATAATATGATTCCTTTTTTTTTCTGTTGAAGTCTCTCTAGATAGTTATACATGCATTCTCTTATAAGTATGTTGAACGATAATCAACTAAAAATGATAAATGAAATATTTAGCAAAAGTAACATGAAAATAAAAGCGATCAGGAGACCAGTAACTAAGTTTAGATTGATTAAGTTTGATCTAAAAGTAGAACTATATTCAAGTACAATGTTGTTGATCATATAAATGAAATAAAACAATATTGATAATGATAAAATAGTGTCTTCTTATTCAATAACACAATAATTTTCGTATTAGACATTTCATATCTATCTTCAATGAAACTTTTTAGATAGATGTATGTAAATTTTTTGTTAGATATGACACATTAATTAACGGATATGTATTGACTACCGTTCCGACAGATAGTATTTTGGTCGAAATTACATTATATTGTAGTTTAAACATTGAGAATTTCGTTTGTTGATACGTAGAATAATTACAGAAAGATTGATGTTGATCAAATTATCAACATATAAAGAGTTAGGTGAACATTTTCAATCATATAGTATAATATAGTGTCGTTTAAATCATAGATGTTTGCATCGACTAAATGTGATGTCTTTCTCGATGATCTAAATATCGAATATATTGACCATGAGCATATAGTTGTTTTGTTTGAATAATTTTTGATATCATTATTCGTACTCGAAATGTTAAGTATAATAGTGACATATTTCACAGACAACAATGGATAAATTAAGGCACCGTTGTGATTTTTTATGAATAGTTGCAATGATACGAGAAATTCGGATTATTTCCTTTTTGTTTTGTTGTTTTATTGGTTCGGCCGAGTTTTTTTTTATTGATCAAGGTAAAAATGTACAATATGTAGTTTATTAGTATCGTTGAAACATTGAAACAAAGAATGTTTTTAACATCAGAACGGATCGAACAGTGAGATGATGTCATTCTTCGAACAAGAGCATGATGAAAATTATTTGCTCAATATTCGACAGAAACATTGAGCTCTAGAACAATCAGACTTGAGATAGTTCTTATAATAAAATTAGTGCTGTGTACTATTCATTCGAACATTTCAATATTGCGCATTATAATATTTTGATCTCACACTGAAAATCAATTTCAAATCACTTCCTTTTCATTTTTCAGATATTGCAATGACTAATATATGAAAAATATTTGATTCGAAAAGGCTAAACAGCAATGAAACTATAGTAAATGAAAGTTAACTTCTAAAATAATGAGTTTAATCAAAACATATTGTGTATTATTGTTTATTAATTTTTGACAAATTAATACGAGACAAAAAACTAGAACATCGATCTACTACTCGAACTATAATCGAACCTCGCGAACCCTTTACATGAATTCTTCGATTGCATAATGAATTTCGATTTCGATTTCCATTCGGTGTATGTATATCAAATTGAGAAGCATTCAAAGCAGCTATATATTCGCTATCACAATATCATGTACCACATGCTGTATATTCACCTTGAACATTATAATAGGTACATCGGCCATGAAATGAACCACTACACATTAGTTTTTGTCTATTTGAATCTGATCCACCTGATCAACATTTTCCTGCTTTACATCCAACACCACAATATTCAATACTAGTATCATAATAACCCTATTGTGAACAACACATTCTAGATGGACAATCACAAACGATTTCATAACTAATTGTATGATTTAATATCAACAGTGAACAAAGAATAAAGAATAGCACATTGAATCGATGCATATAAGAACTAATAAGTAGACAATTATTCTAATACAAAATGATTCTATTTCTCTGACTTATACATCCATAAAATAGTCAATATTTTCTAGCGATATGTTGGAAGATAATATAACATTTCGATGAAAAACAAAACATCTTATTTTTGTTTTTATTCCGTATCTTAACGGTTTGTGAAAAAGTATAAGCGTTATATCAAATGAAATTTTACTAGCTTTCTTGTTTCACTTTAAAATAGTTTCGCTACCGTATGGTGTTATTTACTATGAGATTTGACTTACCAAATAACAAGAATATTTTATTGTATTGTTTATTGGACTTGATGATATTAAGATTAAATTTTTTCAGATTCTCACTCAAAGCTAATATAAGTGCTGCAGAATATATGAATGGCTTTGACATTATTTGAGAAATATTTCTTAAATCTTATATCTTTAAGAATAGTAAGACAATCTGATGAAGATTAAAAAAATACATAATATCAAGTAATTGTCAATTATAGAAAAACTTGATGACCTATCCAGCTAAAAAGGCCCATGGCTAGTCAAAGTAGCACAGAAAATTTCACCGAATACAAAACGGCCGAACTTATTCATTCGGAATTTTCTTTTAGGTTTTCATATATTCTGCATCGATAGATGTAATTTATTTTGAATAATGACAAAAGTCAAGGATTTTTCGTGCAATAATGGGAAGAAAAATAGTCCTATTTTTTTAATCATATTTCGAACATTGCTATATCTTTTTAACAAATGGAAATAATAGTAGTGTCATTGAAAGTTCGGCTACATGGTGACATTGATAGGTCATCTTATTTTATTCAAAACGAGAAAATTTCCAGAAATATCAGCTTTTTTGATTAGCTCTAATGACAGGAATCCTTTTGGATGAGTGCATTACCACGACTTTCTATTCTTGTAAAGTCGTCACAATTCAACTAAATGAAATGAAAAATTTTTTTTATGTCAAAAATAGATGAGTGTGTTACCTGAGGACAGACCATTTGATATTTATAATTGCTAAGATTTTTAAAAAGGTTTCATAAGTTAAAAATCATTCTAGATAAAAAAAAAGAAAAGACACAGTTGTATAATTTTATCAAAGATTTATTATTTTAATAAAATATTTTTCAAAAATAAAATCATTCTTTATTCATAATCATATTGTACAATATATTCTGGATATGCTTGATAACTATTAAAAATACAAAACATATCATTTTGATTATTATTAAAATGAAATACTGAATGACATCCTTGTGCTGGTGATTTAACATCTGAACCACCTTGACTTGAATTTCCAAGTAAAACTTGACAAATAAATAATTCTCTTCGATGATTTGTTTTTCTTAGTACATATGGATCATTATTAGAATAATGTGCATTTACTGCAAAATAAACTCCATCACCAATAAGACCACCAGGACAAAAACTATGATAAAAACCATGATACATGATTAATTTTTGATGTGTACTTGAAGCTGTACCATGAAAAAGATGTTGAATATTATTTGGAATTATTTTTTGTAATTCTTGAAATATATACCAAAGTCGAAGATTTTGTATTCGAATTATTGAATAAATAACTATTGATGATTTTTGAAGTGATTTTGAAAATAAATTTGATATATCTTGAAATTCTTGTGATGATTGAGATAATTTTATAAATTGTATAGGATTTTCACTTAATGACATTGTTATCCAATGTGAAGGATATGTTAATGATGAATTAAAATTAATTGTATTTCGCATTGTTAATTCACAATTAAGAATATCCCATATAGAATTTTCAATAGGAGATTATCCTTGAGAATATAATTGAGCTAAATAATCAACAAGTTTTTTTAATTCATTATCAGTTTTTGTAATAGTATAATTATATGGATCAGTCTGTAATTGTGTTATTTCATAATTAATACTATCAACTATTTTATCATATAAATTATTTGATATTTTAGATTGACCATTTTTCCATAATGTATTTAATTCATCTTGTAATTGATAAAGATCATTTAATTGTAGATCACTTAGATATTTAATACCAATATTAGCTAACTTTGTTGCATGCATTAGAATGTTATGTTGAATGAGAAGGACGCCTAATGTTTTTCATTTTCATATGAAAGAACAAGAAACAAATAAAAAAAAGGTAAGCTTGCCAAAGAAAAAATAAGTGTAATGTCATTACTTATATTACAATATGGTTGTGAAATTCGAACAAAATAAAATTACGATTAGATCCTTGTGTGATGATGATGAATAATCAAAACTTAGTGTTTTTATGATATAATGAAATAAGATTGTAACTGTTTAATTAAATTAAATTGAATCATTTATGATAGACCCAACTTCTTAAATTTTGAAAAACTAAGAAATTTAGATTCGAGTATCTTTAACATTGTATAAAAATAACAATGAAAATTGATTAAGAAAGAGAAAATAGTGAAAATTTGTAAAAGATTTTTCTTTTAATTCTTGTTTGAGAAAAACAATAATTATCATTATCATATAGTATATTTATACAAGATCACATCGAGCTTTACCGAATTATTTTTCGATATGACTCAAGTTATAAAATGATAAAAACATTGAAATTATTTCGCAAAATGTATCGATAAAAATTTTTCGATTTATAATTATTGACATCAAATAGAACGTCTCTGTTTTGTCTTGTCAAATACTGATTAGAATTTTAATAAAAACCTTGTATGCACAGTCTCTTCTATTCTCGTGTTGTATACACAATGTCCTTTAAACAATTGCAAAAACGGCGAAATGTGTCTGTCGTAAGCATGATCATCTACAATGCGCATCATAGAATTAACTCCAAAATCTTTCTTCTTTATAGACAATCTTTGACTTTAAATAATCAATAGATCTTGATGATTTTATTTATCATCTCTTTTCTTTTTCTTTAACTTCATTTTTTTTTTTATTAATATTAAGTCAAAATTAACTTTTTTGTACTGTTTCATACATCTATCGATAGATTGTTTGTTTTTTTTGAGAGCTATTTGACAATATGATGTTCTCCCTTCAGAAATAAAGTCTTTGTGTCATTTGACACGATAATCAAAATGATCTCGATCCTCAGAATATCAATGACAAAAAAAAATGCTTCTGCATGATCTCTGCCCGTCGCTTTTTTCTTCATAGTTATGTATCATAGATGCGGACACACATTTTTTGGCTTTAGAGATACTTAACATGAAATTTATTCCAACTCCGATTTTGATCTTATTCATCCTATATATCGAAATAATAGCTCGTAAATGTCTGACAACATTAAAAGAAGATTCTGTTAATTCTCTTATTCAAAAAAAGTATCTTTCTTAAACTTCATGTATTTGTATTAGAAAGTTATAATTTTTATCAAAGAATGATTTTCGATTATACTTTGCCGCATATAATTATTGTCTTTATGTAGCTTTTCTTACGAGGGAAGGTCACCAACTGTTCAATCGCTTTAGCTTTGAAACTACTTGCATTATGTAGTTCCCAAAGAGTTATGAATACGCTGAAAATATTTTGGGCGGATAGCTCATTGGTACGAATTTAGGCCATTTGTCAGGTATAGGTTTTAATGAGTGCCTGGACCCCTCCTCAGGAACATTAAAAATATTCATTTTCGAATTTTGACTTGAAACTTTACATAGAAAGACGCTCCTAGAAGAATAACTTTTGCTGAACGTGTCAGATCTTTCCAGCGTTTCTATCACTAGACACAGCTATTGTGAAATTTTTGTTCTCCATCTTTCAAATAAAGTAGTAGATTTGACGAAGGAAACAAATTCAATGAACAAAAATGATCTCAAAGCACTATCCTCGTTGAGATGTATTTCTATGTAAAGTTCTAAGTCAAAATTCGAAAATCAATTTTTCTGATGTTCCCGAGGGGGAGTACGGCAATCATTAAAAAAAATCTTACAAATGACCTATTTTCGGAACAATAAGCTATTCGCCCAAAATATTTTCAGCGTATTCATAACTCTTTGGGAACTACATAATGCAAGTCGTTTCAATGCAAAAGCGATTGAACAGTTGGTGACCTTCCCTCGTTAGTACGTACACACTGTGGATATAGTTTGTTCGTGTTAATATCTATAAATGAATCCTATTTATGACATATTAGATTTCATAATGATAGAAAAAATACATAGAGTATTGCATGGAGCATAATGCTAGTCGATAAATTAAACCATATATAGGAGAAAAATGACATATATGAGCCAATAGATGTTGAAAATATGGTTCTGATGCTATGGGTTATTTTTTGAAGGAAACAGTTTTAAAAGACGTCGCCCTTGAAGACAATTGGATTAATTATTCTGTGTTTCACTATAATGGTTTTTCTTCATATTAATATCCAGTTAAATGTAATAGTTAAAATGTTTTAATTATCTGTAACGCATCTTCAGCAATGCTTATGTTATTTCAATTTTTTGAGCCTCAAAAAAAAAAGATTATCGAAACTATATGACTAAACCAATAAATTCAAAATAGAACAATGTAATGAAAAACTATTTGTAAAAATATCAAAATTCACATAAGTTTGTACTTTTTTGTTGAAAAAACAGCGATTCCATTAGAAAGCGATCTACTAAAGGTTTTTTTTACTTAGTCAATTACTACTGTGGCCGACGACGTTTTCGATGGACTTCCAAAAACTTTGTAACATTCAGAAAATGTTTACTATTTAATACTCTGTGTAAAGTTATGCACCATAAGCGAGCTATATATTATTTGATATGAAGGACGTACAAAAAATCATAAGATTAAAAAAAAACAAAATCTAATAGAAACCAGCTAATCAAGATTTTATTTGATCAATTGTTCGCATAAATTGTCTTGTGATTTTTTACACGAAATTATGTTCCGTTGAACTAATTATTAAAAGTTTATTAAAAATCATCTTTACTCAATAAATTAGGTATCTTGATTATGGCACAGTGCAAGAATTCTTAGTTATACTCATCTGTTGAATTTTATTTGACGAGATTGTATAACAAAAAATAACATTATATCACATTTAGAGAATCTATCGTTTGGCATACCAAATGAGCAAGTAGTCTGTTGTGTCGAATATGATAATGAACAATTTTTTCAAGGCAAAGCTGTTTTCAGTTGGACGCAGAAATCGAACTGGTCTGGATTTTTCACGACCGGTACTGGATTAATCGATAACCGGTACCAGTTTCATCTCTGATTGGACATACAATAGGTGATTGGTCTAGAATAGCTTTTCAGGCAGCATTCATCGACTTACGATCTATTGGTTTCTCATAAAAGCAAGATGCGTCGGCTATTGCCACCTCACATAATTGCTATGTTCTTGATTCAAATTTTGCTAAGTCATCTTGACCTTTCTTGACTCACTCAGCACGTAAGCTATTAATCAGTAACATGACTGTTTACCAAGCGATAATTTTTTTTCTTAACTTTAGATATTTAAACATGATTCATTGGGTAGTTTCATTACTCATATCAGTGTCTACTTCCATTTCATCAATCTTGAAATGAGAATCATCATTAATGTGGCAATGAAAGTTTGTCTTATCGATCTGAAGATGGAGGTGCATAGTTTCCATTCGATTTTTTTTTATATAAAAGTATCGATTCAATAATGATTATACAATACATAAATATAGAGAACTATTAGTACAATAAATGTGTATAAATAGAAATTCTTTACTTTCATTATAATATAAATCTCATTACTTTTACTTTTGGTCTAAATAGATTTTTTGTGACGCATTTCTTCTTACTGAAATTCAATCCTAAAATAAAAAAAGAAACTATGTCATTTTGAAATATTTTCTTAACTTTAATAGAAAAACATTAAAGTCAATCAGAATTTCTCAATACATTTCGAATTGTAGTGTTAGTTTAAGCTTTTTTTTTTTTTCTAAATATTTTCCATCTCTCCAAATATTAAACAAAAGTATCATTATTAAAACTACTCTTGATTTGAAAAATAATTGCATAGACACTGAAAAATCGATGTTCACAAATTAAATATACAAATCAAAAACATCTCTAACAATCAGTAAACACAAATTTTAAAGTATCTTCAAGCAAATATGTCCGATCAAAAAGAAAGATTTAGTTCATATAATGTAATAAGAAATTTATATATTTATTTATTTATTTTTATTTTTAAGAAAAAAAAAAAGACTTTTTTTGTTTTTGATTGGCCACATTATTAAACAAGAGGCAAAAGATGGAATAAAGTTTATTGATAGATTAAAATCTTCGAAAATTATTATTATTTCCAGATTCATCCAAAAGATCCATTTGTGGATCAACTGCACCAAGTAATGCTTTTGCAACATAATCTCCAAATGAAAATGGATAATTATTTCCTCGAATACGACGTACTTCTTCTCGTTCAGTTTTATAATCATCAACAACATCAACATTCATCATTGTACGATCCCATTGTGATAAATAAGCTACACTTGATTCATCATCTGTACAAGCAAGAAATGTTACATATGTTGTATTTGCTTGACGTTCATTTCTCATTAAATTTTCTAAACTTTGTATATCAACATTACCACTTGGATCTGTTGGAGCTCCATCTGTAGCTACAAATACAAGTAAACGTTTATCACTACCAGGTTTACTTGCTGCTGATTGAAATATTCGTCTTAAAGCTTGTGTAAGTGGTGTTAATCCACCTGGACGTTGACTAAATGATTCAATAACTTGTCGAGAATCAGTTACATTAGGCATTGATGGACGATTAAGAAAATGTACATCAACTCCATTTGAATCAAATACAGTGCCAATTTCCATAACTATTTGTACAATAGATCGTAATTCATCCCATCGAGTACCTGTTGTTCCATCAACTGGTGTATTCATTGAACCTGAATCATCACAAAGTAAAACTATTTCAAATTGTTGAAGAATGTTAAGACGTTGAGCAAGTGTATCATTTATTTCATATCGACCAGTTATGGCTCGAAGACGATCATTTACTAAACATTTTTTAAAGTTTCAATTCAATATTTTCTTTTTTTTTATTTGTTTTAGTATTAAAAAATAACTTACTAGCTGGTGATCCAAATGTATTTGCATTATATCCACCAGCTGTAAAGAAAAAAAAAATAATCAAAATAAAATATTAATTAAATATAAAGAAGAAAAAGCACTAGCCTTGTGGCTGATAAGCATAAGGATTTTGATGTTGCTGTGGTGGTTGGTTATATGGAGGATAGCCACCATAACCACCTGTTAGAAAAGAAATTTTAAGCAAGATTACAGCATTATTATAATAAGAATCTTGTGGGACAACTAAGCTTCTCAAACACTTTCATCAGTAATAAAATGTAATATTACCTTGAGGTTGTTGAGGATTGGAACCATAAGGATTTTGATATGGTTGTTGTGGAGCATTTGAACCATAGGGATTTTGATAGGATTGTTGTTGTTGAGGATTTGAACCATAAGGATTTTGATATGATTGCTGTTGTGGAACATTTGAACCATAAGGACTTTGTCCATAAGGATTTTGACCATAAGGATTTTGACCATAAGGATTTTGATTTGATTGTTGTGGTGGATAACCACCTAAGAATTAAATAGATTATATTTTGATGAAATACACTAGAAGAATATTTACTACCTTGCTGTGGTGGATAGGAAGTTGATGATTGATATGGATTTTGAAAACCGGTATTACCTGAAATAGAAATTTTAATTTTCTTTTAGTACATGAGAAATTTCATTATTTTTTTTATTGAATAAAAATAAAATGTTTATGCTGTAGATTGTGCATATTTTTAGAATAATTATTTTCTAATAAAATTGAAAATTGTTTTCTTTTTTTTAAATAAAATCATTTCTATCAAACATTGTTTTAGATAAATCAATTAGAGAATTATTTTATGATTTATAGCTAATATATATATATATATTTTTTTTTTTTTAAGGAATATTATTTATGTTCTTTGTAAAAGAATATTTTCGTTTACTTTATTGTGATGGATAAGAAATAAGATTAGCAGTAAAGTATATCCTATAAGTTCTAAGTCTCAATGAAAATTATTTTATATCTAAATAAAGAATTTTCCCTACTTAACTATATCTATATAAGCTTCGAGTACTTAGAACGATGTTTCAATTGACATATTATTTGATAACATTATCTCTTTTAATAACCGTGGGATAAGTAGAACAAATATGAAAATTAAGATGTAGATACAGAAGATATCTACACCCACATCCTCAATACAATGTATAGCTTTGTATAAATGCGTTACGTTACATACAATGAATTCATAGTTCATTAAAACTTAAAAAATACTGATCGATTTAAGTATCATGTTCCTTCTGTTGATATCACTATTATTAAAAGAGATAATGTATCAGATAATATGTCATTTAAAACGTCATCCTAAGTACTCGAAGTTCATATGGATATAGTTGAGTAGGGAACACCTTTTATTATGTAAAAGTTTTAGTTGAATTGTTTTTTTTTAATTAAAGAGAATATGTTTACCTTGCTGTGATTGATATGGATTTGATGGAGGGTATGGATTTTGATAACCTGAATAAAGCATATTTAAAATTTTAGTTTTTCTTTTTATAATAAAAAATAAATGAATGTGATGGTATTTAAATTTCGACTAACCTGTTGGACGTGGTGGTTGTTGACCAGGTGGATATCCAGAAGGTGGATAAGGATTTGTTTGTGGTGGATAGGAACCTTGTTGATAACCAGCACCACCTTAAAAAAAAAATAAAAAGTGTTCAAATAATTTTTTCATGTTTTTTATTTTCATGTAAAATATTTGTTAACCTTGAGGTGGTGGAGGTTGTTGTCCCGTAGCTGGAAGAGAATAATTTGAATATTTACTTGCATTTGCTGGTTGATTATTTGATGGAAATGGATTATTAAGAGATGATGATGATGATGACGGACCAGTTGGATAAGGAGGTTGTGATGATGATGGAGGACCTGTTGGATAAGGAGGTTGTGATGATTGTCCGCCGGGATATGGCGTGTTTTGATTGGGTGGTTGAGACATTATACTAGAAAATCCAACAGGCTGTTGTGAATTTGAATTCGATAATGTCGAAGTTGTTGTTGTTGTTGAAGAAGGTGGTGGCGGCGCTGATGGTTGTGTTGTGCCTGAGCCAATGTTCGGATACATTTTTTTGTGTTTGTTTGTGTCGTGTTTTCTTGCGTTCTGCGTCGATTATGATGCATACACAATACTTTAACACGTTCGGTTTAGCTTATATAATGTTTTTTTTTTCTCCTTTTGCCCTGAATCAACATACTTCACTCTGTATGATGATGATGCTGATGACGTGCGTTTGAGAGAGGAAGAAAAAGATGGACGAAGAAAAGAAAGACGAGACGAAAAAATAACGTCATGATCGTTGATTGGTGGTGAATTTCATAGAGAATAATCATGAGACACGTGCTCTTTGTATGTCGCCAACTGAAGAAAAAGAAAAAAGGAAGAAGATTTTTTTTGTGTTATGTTGTCCTTGAAAAATATTTGGAAACGAAAAAGTCTTACATTACGTATTCATTATGAGTCAAATTTTTCTTTAGTTTTTTGTTATGAATATAATTGACTAATTCTGATACTTGTGCAAGTTCCAATTGACGTCAATGGGATATAATTTTTAATATAATAAGACTTAAAAATCATTGAAGATATAAAAAGATGTTTGTGAATAATACTGATGATTGAATTTAATATAGTATATAAATCGATTCGATTGATAGAAATAAGAAATAGTATAGTTGAAAAATAAAATGATTTTATATGTGACATCATATATTAAATAAAAATCAAGTTGATAATGTTAATGACAAAAAAGAATTAGATAAGACAAAGATGAAGATTTGAACGAGTAATATCAATTGATGGAAAGAGTTTAATACAAGATTGATTAAAATGAAGACAAAATTAGATTAACTCTTTGGTTACAGAGTTTTTGCAAATAGGATAAAAAATGTAGATTTGCTAATAGAAGTCTGGAAATGGATATATATGTCAAAAGCACACAACGAATTACATTAGTCTTCAACCAACATCATGTAATTCAATACCTACATAGTCAAATAGAGTTATTCAGAACCTTGTGAAATGCTTTGTATAGCTCTATGAATAATGCTGCGATTCCATATTATAATATAGATCTAATAATATTTAACGTTTGGTCTTCTGTAAGATTAAAGTTTGAACAAGTAATCGAAACTTTTTGGGTCAACAATGTTTTTAGAATTCTACACAATTTTACAGATTTCTGTTTAGTTTCACAGGGCTTTGAACGATTGTAGGTATAGAGAATCTACGAATTCTTCTAGAACTATAAACCCAAATTTCTTCTTTTCTATTTGATATACATGTACAGTGATTTCATTTAATGATGCTTTGATACTAACAGCATAATGGAAAGTGAGAAGATTGTGAAAATTGTAATCTACATAAAAGTGCAGCCCGTATAAGGACGAGTCTCGTTATCAAAAGGTTAAATATACAAATCAATTCATTCTTTAGATGCGAAGCACTTAATAACGATGAGTCGAGATTGTTTTTTTTTCTTTTTCCAGTTCCTCAGTCAAATTCCATATTTTGTGATGCTATGATCTCGAGAATGCTATGATGCTTCGTTCGTCCAAAGTAAAATATAGATATTATAAATAATCTATGGATTTTCTTTTCTTTATGTCGATGTAATACAGCGAGACTAGATGCTGATCTTTGCAATGATTAATTATCAATACTACTAAAGATAATCCATCAATGGATATCTATTGACATATTTTTTTTATTAATTTAATAGAAATCTGCAAAGACTACTAGTAATACCATTTGTTATGATTGTGCAGAAAAAGATCAGAATGCAAAATATCAAAGATTTTGTACAAAAGCAGAATAAAACTTCGCAATCTGTAGATAACAATGAATATTTGATATTAATGTAACCGAATACAATCTCATTCATTCGTATGAATACAATAGGCAAAGGTTCTGTAAAGAACATGTTAAGTATCGATATTTATCGTATTTAAAAAAAAACATTTGGTGAAACACGGTATAGCTTCTCATCAATTTCCCAATGTAAACAAATTGTATTAAGAAGTATATTTTTCCATAATAACTATAGCAAGATTAGATGTAATTCAATAACAACTTTCAATAATAATAGTAAATTATCATCAATTTGATAGATACTAAGAGTTTTTTTGGTTATCTATGCAATGTCGAAAAGCCAAAACCAAAATTCGAAATACTTCGCACTCTGAACTGAGCTCAGATGCCATCTAGTTATTAAAGAAACAATGAAAATAAATTATCTTTTGTTTCTAAATATCAATGAAGAAGAGTAACAGGATATAATTGATTTGAAAAGACTACATATTGTTTTAGTTTATCCGAGAAATTATCATTACGAAAGTACAAATTATTCATTCAAGCATATATTGATTAGATCTTCAAGAATTAATACATCAACCGAATGAATTAAGAAAGATTGAGTAACCATTGACTTTGATATAGATATTTCTAATTTTTAAAGGAAAAATATATTAATAATATCATGATTAATGAATGTATCAAGACAAGGATAGGAACAGGAAAAAGAATTTAAGAAATGATTCAATTATAAATTGAACTTTAAAAAATACTTATTCTTGTTAAAGACAAATCAATCAATTGTTCGTTTGTTTTATTTTCATTATAAAGAAAAAGTAAAACATTTACTCAAAAATATAGCTACATATTTTGTATTTTACAACACAAACTAATGGTTGGTAAACTTTTTGTAAAAATTTATGTATACTTTAATTATGTCAATTGATTGAAGATAACCGAAATGGAAATTGCTGCAGTCCATCTTTCTCTAATTTCTGAAAAATAACCCATCAGAGAAATTTGAAACTTTCAAATTAGATAGATTTCAATCAGTAGAACAAAAATTCCTGAATATTTCGTTGTAGATGATACTCGAGTCACAAAAACTAAGAATGAACATTCTTTCTCCAAATCACCTACTTGCTCTCAACAAGTTTTATCAGAGGAAAATGATATATCTATAAAATATTTTTCAATTGGTCCGATTCGATTACAATTCTAATCGAGGTCTTTGCCATTTCCCTGTCGTTCAGAGTTTGATTTATATGAATATCTGATTGAAATGATTTTTCATAATGTCAATATTGTATCGTAATATTCAATTTGTTTCAACAAGTATTTATTCATATTTTCTTATGGATATAAAAAAACAACCGAGGAATCAATCATCATCATCATCCTCCTCATCATCATCTTTAACACTCGCCATCAAATCATCTTGAAGAACATTCCATCTCACTGGTGTTGTTTTTGTTGTTGATTCGGCCTGAAATGAAATTTTATTTTATTCAAAAATTTAGTTTCTTCTGAAAATTTGTTTACCTTAGTTTGATTCTTTTTCATAATTTTGCATGAGACTTCATCAGAATCGATTGTTTTAAGCATATCAAGAAATTCTCCTTTATTTATTGTATTTTCTTTTTTATTTTTCGTTGTTGTTGTTGATGATGATGAATTTTGTTGTTGTTTTCGAACTGTATTGAATAATTGAACAATACCACGTGTAGCTAGCCGTTGTAATGATCGTTCATAATCACGACCACGTGTTATATCAAATGGTTCATAATTCATTGCATTCCAATCACGTCTCTTAAAATAAAAACAAAACATATTATTGATAAAATAAATTTTTATAATATTGCATCTTTTACTCGTCGTTTTTTTGTACGTTCACTAAATGTTGGTTTAGGTTCAGTTTCTTGTGATTGATCAATTATTTTCTTTGTACTATTTGAATCAACTCGTTCAACAATTTGTCCACTTTCACCAACTATTTCAAAAACATTTTTCGGTAATAATTTTTTTGATTGTTTTTTTTTCTTTTTTATTTTTATAGAATTTTCTTCTAGAGTCATCTAAAACAAAAAATTACTACACGATTAAATCAAATGTGTATTTAATTATATTCAAAAAAAAAAAAGTCTTTATCATCTATTAGATTAATTTTTCTTCTCAAATTTTAATGATGCAGAATTAACACAATGACGTTCTTGAATTATTTTTCCATTTGCATCTGGTATTCCTTCACCTTTGAAGACATGACCTAAAATTGAAAAAGAAGATTTATAAATTTCTCGAACGATAGATGAGTTTTACAATTTTTATATGGCATATCCTTATTTATATATGTGTTATATGTTAGTATCTAATTAGAAAAGTTCATTATAATAGCATAGACACATCAACGTACTTATAAGTGTAATATTCTGAGTAAAATAAAATTTGAAAAATCCAAAACTAAATTTTTCTGCTCCTAGGATTTACTAATGAAATTCTGTTTGAATTACTCAGAACGATAGAAGAAACAATTATCTATGAAATGAAATGTTTTCCAGCTCTCAACGATGTTTTTTGACCGAGATATATCAAACATTCAAGAATAAAAATGGTGTCTCCAGACGAAATAACACAAAAAAAGACTTGCATAACCTCTAATATCCTTTCTCTTGGAGATTCATTACTTTTTTAAGTTCATCGATATCTTGTCTATTCTGCATGTTTATGTCTTCGACAACTCTGCTGTTTACGAAAAAAAAGGATAAATTTTATTATTAAAATTGTGACAGTAAATATAGAAGTGGTCGTTACTCAATAATTTTCAAATAAATTTTTGAAGCACAGAAGTCATGAGAATATGGACATTTGACCAAGTTTTACACGAACATAAAAGATATCACTCCAATGAAGAAGTGTTGGTCCTGATCTAGGTCAACAAACTTCTTCTCAAGAAACTCGCAATCATTTTTATCTTTAAAATCTCTTTTTAGAAATAAAATTCTATAGTCAGAGCACTATCTGAATCTTCTTTAGTATTTACCGCAGCTGAAAACAAAAATTATAAATAAACCTGATCGAATAATTTGGGAAGCTACTGTATATTTTCATCAGATCAATCAAAGCGAAAATAGTAATTTTTGATAAGATATTATGCGAGAACTTCTCTAATACCTAGACAGAAGCAGATTATTCTAGAAATCTGTGTTCAATTTCGCTAGATAATAAAAAATTATTTCATTTATTAAATATCTTCAAGTTTAGAATATACAATTGAAGGAGATTATATTTTATTTCGTTTGTCATTATAGTACGAATAATTGAATGATACGAACCTAAATGACCATCACAATTAGCACATAAAATTTCTTCACGATAACCATCTTCATCTTTTTGACGTTTAACGGATGTAGCTACTGATGAACTAAATGCTGGCCAACCACAGTGCGAATCAAATTTTGATGATGAACTAAACAAAAAAAAAATATATCTTTCTAATTAACAGATGATACGAAAAATTTTTTTTTCTTTACAAACTATGTTATCGAACTAAATCCTAACTTTTTTTCAAGTGAAGTTAAATGTCTTCTCTCAGAAACTACCTTGTGATTAAGGCCCTAGCCAGAGATCTGATCTTTCATAAATACATTATCTTTTTTTTTTGTTATCTCGTATTTTGCAAAAATTCTTGATGATTTCCATCACTTTCTGCTTGAAAAATATGTTATTTTTTTTTAGAAAAAGCAGAAATCACTTTTTCGATTTTTCTCTGTTTATGTTATTCCACTTGCGCCCCCAGAGTCTTCATTCTTTTTGAAAAAACATGAGGAGTTGCAGTGTCCATTTTTCGATATATTGAACATGTCATCCTTTTTCTTCGTATATAAAAGTGAGAATTTAAAAAAAAACTCTGTCAGGTACTGCAGTCTGGTACTCTCTTACAAACATAAAAAAGAAAGTCAAATCTATAAAATGAAGACCCACAGAGAACTCTGGGCTGCCAAATGAGCTATTTTTTAGCCTTTTTCATTGAGTATCTCCCAAAAATGCTATGATATAAGGTTGGAAATTTTCATGCAATTTACTCGAGATAGTCAAAAATTTCAACATTTAATTTTGAAATCTAAGAATGAAAGTAAGAAAATGTATGAAATTCAATGTCATCGAAACAATTATTTAGGTTTTTGAAAGATTCTTTCATTTGTCTGTAATACTAATAGTTAACAAATTTTTGAGTCAATATTTGAATAGAATACAAAATTTTAATTTCACATATTAAAACTTACTCATAAAGTTCTTGACCACAACCAGCACATTTATATATTCCCGTTTCAAAATGTTTATTATATTTACCCATACCCGGATATTCTGTTTCTTTTTTACGTAATATACGATATTCTTCATCCGATAATTTTTTTTTCCATTCAGCATCAGATAAATTAACTACTGATGTTTTTTGTTCTCGTTGAATATCTGATGATGATGATGACATATTTAATCTAAAATTAAATGAATAAATATAATGAAAATTAATATAAAATAATTGAATAAAAAATTTATTAAATCTATCACTATAATTAATTTTAAAAAAATAAATAATAAATTTTTGAAAGCACAGAAAAATCGAATTATTGTCGAGTATATATTCAAAGTATAGTCAATGAAGGGAATCCTACAATGAAAAATAAATACATTTAAAATGAAATATAGACAACAAAAATGAAAGGAAAAAAAAGAACTCTACAATAAATGTTTGTATTGTCTACAAAAGTATTGATTATTGATCTGTATTAAGCTTTTGACAAATACATCGAACAATTATTAACTATGGGCAATAATTGTAATTTAAAAACCAAAGATTAGAACTATACCGATAGTATGATACTAAATAAGATAATAAATTAACGAGTATACTTCAAATTACTCAATGATATAATATTATGATAGTGTGCTAATAAAATAAATAACAACGTATTAACTGATTGAAAACGTTTAGTTATTTAGAATGAAATTCATAAATACTTGATTTACAGTCTTGTTCATTCTTATTATAGTTCTCAGAAGTTATATTGCATGACGGAAATCTAAGCCAATGATCATTACAAAATATCATCCTCTTTATTCAATCATAAGGACAGACTTCATATAAATTATTGTACTATAAGTTACCAATACGAAAAATTTCTTGCTCTATAGTTCTTTTTGACTTCTAATATTGATGAGGTACATATATAGAAGAAAAAGCATGCACGATACTAATGAGGAAAGGGTCTCCAAGTGATAAATCGTTTTCGAGCTGGAACTAAATTCAATCGATATGGCCTAGTGAGTAGGTAAATATCTTAGAGTGGTTCGAGTTGCTGAGATTTCGAATTTTCAATGCATTTTGTTCTGTAGAGTCTCAGTTTTCAAGCGATTTATCACTTGAAAGTCTTTCCTCGTAAGTAACATAATTGTCATAATATCAAAGATTTTGAACATCAAGCTGAGTATATTATTGATAATGATCGAAACATCTTGAAATTTGCCTAATAATTTAATTTTAGATTGATGATATGATAATAAAAAACAACATTTCCTCAATTGTCATCTATGTTTGTAATATACTACGAAAACAAGATAAATTTTGCTTAAATAAAAAACTTGTTTTTTTTTTATTCAAGAATTATTATAAACTATTATTTACCAATTATAATTGTCGTCGTTTTTTTGCTGCATATTTTCTCAGTATGCCCAATGAAACATAACCCAATAACAATGTTTGTATGAACCATCGACATGTATTAGTAGAATCAATATTTAACTTTTTACATAGACGTAAAGCAATTATTGCTTCAAAAATATGTAAAAAAATGGCAATCCAAAAAATGAATACCAATAAATGATGATGATTATATGCTAAGTTTTTTGTAAATTGACCCCATATACCGAAATATTCATATGGCATTAAATTTGGCCAAAATGCAAGAATTGTTAATTTTAAAATACCTCCATCACAAGCTATATACCATAAAGGATTTGATGCTTGAAAGAAATTATCAGTCATCTTAAATAAAAGTTCTTAATCATAATAAAAAAAAAAACAAGGACAACAACAACTTTAATTAGAAAAAACAAAAACTAATGTTGTTGTACTTTGTTTCGATACACAAAAAAAAAACAAAGTTCAAAAATGCGAGTAAGAACAAGGAAGATGATAATGTCGTCTTTAAAGACCGAAAACAAAGACCTACACGTACATTTTCCAAAAAACTATGTAGATCACTCGAAATTCAATTTAATTCACCGAACACGATCTGTATTACGATAACTACAATTATCACGTAATGAATCATTATGTGTCTTATATTCGATTGGACCTAAAATACAAAATGATTCACAAAAAAATCAATTAAGAGTAAAAGAATTATGCTCTGTTGGCAACACACTTCTAGTGTGTCATGTAATTTTGAAGTAGTTTTCTTGAATATAAAGCTTAGATAAACGAGTTAAAAATTTCTAAGATTTCTTTTCTAGTTTTAAAAAGTTGCTAGCACAATTCGTATGGAATTAAAATGTGAAATACGACGTAAATGTTGTTACTAATCAAAGGTAGGTGCCGTCAGATCCGATCGAACCGTACTTTAATATTCCTACTGAATTTTTCTAATTGACATTGGATAATCATTCCGTAGATACGAGATACTTTTGTCCAGCTTTTTGTATTCAGTGACTAGCACACCCTACACATTTCTCAGACGACTAGAGTCCATCATGTCCAAAATTTTTAGACCTGAATCCGATCAAATCCAGATCTGGAACCAACCTGACGGACTCGAATCACATAAAGATTATTTTATTCTATCGACATTGGAACATATTTCTTCGCCATCCTTTTATTTAATCATCCAGAAATGCAATAAAGAAGTGATTAATATATCATAACAAAACGTTATTGATATACCGTTTGTGATCGTATATCAACATTCATCATGGTCTGTGGGAGATGACCGCTTCAGAATTTTTATCTCTATACTTCAACACTTGTTTGAGATCGTGTTTCACAAAAAACTCTCCTATAAAGTTCAACATTCAGTATCTTCATACAAATATATCTCAGTTGTTTCTAAGTAAAAAATAACTATTCTTGCACATACAAGAACAATATTGTTACGTTTACACAACTGAAATGAATCGATGCAAACTTTTAATATCTGAAATATTGAGAGAACAAAGTTTTATACATATTTGATGATAAGTACTGATTATGTTACTTTACAAAACAAGAGTAGGAATAGAACATATAGTCTGGCTAACTTTAATACTAACGCTCAACAAACCAATGTCATATATTTAGAAAACTAGAATATCCGAGATAATTTCTATCGAATCTACTTACAATCTTGTGGTAAACTAAGTACTTTTTTCATTGTTTCTTTAATTCTTTGTGTAACTAATTGATTATTAGCAGTTTTCGTCCATACACTAATAAGATCTTCTTGTGGTCGAATTGAACAAACAATTCCACATATTTCTTTTCCAACATTAAATTGTTCACCAATAATAGCCAAAACAAGTAATTCCCATAAACGTGTAGATAAACCTTTTTTTAAACGTAATATCCATTTACCACCAAGACGATTTCCTTCTTCTTCCCACATTGGTTTTAAATTTTCTTTAAATAGATGAATATCACTAAAATAAGAAGAAAGAAAAAAAACCTGATGTTCAACAAGAAAAAAAAACACCTTCGCTTATCAAACCTATAAAATGGAAGTTCAGAAGGAAATTTCATATGATCATAATAAAACCAAAATTCTTCAATGGAACCAAATGTACCTTTACAAGAAGAAAAATAATAAACTTATGTTAGAAAGTTAATCAATAAAATAAACGAACCGAGTTTTTTCAAACAAGAATCATAATTAACTGCAGTATTACGAAATGTAGTTGGTCGATGTGTATACCAAAATGTCCATCGACCTTCGAGTAAATGAAATGGATTATCTTCATTGTTAAAATTATTTTCATCGTTTGTCAATGAGGAATTTTCGATTTTATCATTTGTTTCCGATGTAATTTCTTCATCATTTATTGTATTTGTTGCCATTTTTTATTTCAAATTTTACTAGTAAATAGTATATTGTACAAAATAATAGATAAAATTAACTAGGAAAATCTTTGTATCTATTCGATATGGATTAAAACGAAAAAAAGAAGAGTAAGGTAAAAATTGAACATATTCTATTGGTGAAACAAATTATACCACTCATAAGATAATAATTATAATGCTATTTATAAGCGCCATCTCTCGAATATATTCATCAAGAGTTAGTCAAGTCATGACAAACTTCATTTAGAGTAGAAAAAGCAAAAAGATTATAAGACTTTAATGATTATTTGAAATAATGGACGTTTATGATGTTTAAATAGCTTTCAAATGGAATTTAAGTTTGTCAAGCATAGAAATTTCCATGCTAATGATTGAATAGTATGTAGGCAGGAAATGTTACAATAATATTATAAACAAGAATAATGCATATATTAGAAAAGTTTATGTCTATCATCGGATATGACTTCAAGATATTTAATTTTCACCTCATCTAAATTCAACAAAATATACAATATTTCAAAAATATTGACAAAACATAATTCAAACTCTGTCAAACAATTTATTTTTATAGTATATTTTCAAAAATCATGATACAGTTTATTCTTCTCCTTTTAGTAACCAAATCAAAACTCATTCAAACATATAACAGTTTGCATGAAATAATAATTACTAAATGACGAAACAATATCATAAGAATTGTTTGGATATGGACCTAGAGTTCCATTAGGAAGTAACTCAGATAATTTGTATTCTTTATTATGATTTATCAAATACTTTGAACTTGATAATTGCTCTGCAATTGATTGAGAGCTGTAAAAGAATTGGTCTTTCATATCAGAACTTATGTAACATTTTGAGATAATTCTATGAGACCACTAGCTGAAATTGGTGCGGTTCAAGTAGTTCATGGTTGATAAGTTATAGTTGAATTATGAGAAGCGTCAAAATAACAATAGGTTATCAAATCTGTACTATGTGGACAATATGGAAGAAAATAATTTGCTGCACCAATGGGTTTATCCAAGAAAGGTTGATATCAAGTGAATTGACAAAACTATAATGACTTTATTACTGATCAAACTTGACCATGAGACCATGTTGAAAAATCACCATAGTATGCAAAAAATAAAATAAAATTAGAAAACATTTCAAAAGAGTTTCTCATTAACTTTGTATAGTAAATTTTCGAATGAAACTTCCATTAGTTTCATTATGCTCAAAAAGAAATGAAAATTAGTAGTATTTAATTGAGAATGTTGATGCATAGCTTGATTGCCATCTTACTCTACTATGCCATATCATAGTTGATTATTTGTTTGTTTATTAGGTTCAAATAATAGCACGCACATCCTCAACAAAACTCGCACTCGCACCCAAACACTACACCCTCAGAAAATGGTACCAAAATCTAGAACTCTAAAAGTAGAGTTGAAACTAGACCAACTGATTTGTCAGTCACTGGTTCAGTTCGGTTGAACTATTGAAATCGGTCAGTTTTTACTGGCTTTTTTTATTAATTTTTAGGACACAAAAGCTAGTCTGTGGTGCTCATTTTCATTAATTTCCATGGCTTTCAAGGTTCAAAACATGGATTTGAAAGTCTTCAACTGACTCATTTCTAGTCATCATCAAAATCCTAGCTCTAGATATTGAGCTTAAGGGTTCTCATCATACGACAAGGGCTTTGGACTATGCTGAATGAATTTATTATGGTCAAAGATCAATTGACTTTGAAAGTTAGAGTGTTTTCAACGTGCCTGTGAGTGGGATAAATTAGCTTTAGAAAAGATATTAGAAGTTATTTGATATAAATTTCGCTTTGCTCTTGTTTGAATTCCATTTTGAGACTTCCAAATTTGAACAATCTCAATTCCATCAAGAACCGGTCTCAAACAATTATTTACTGCCAACAGTTGATCCAAATCTTTTATCAATATCAGTTTGTAAGTATTTTTCATGGATTCCAAATCTAATTGTTTGACATTTGGTGCCACGAGAAGCCACAAAAGAAGTGACACAGCATCTAAGCCATTGCAATTAGATGGCTTCAGGTCAAGAAACTTCACATTTTTTAGTACGGGAATCGTGGTTGTTCTTGTGATCCACTGCAATTAAATATTTTATTTTTGTCTTGATATTAAGAAAAGACAGTAACACGAGAGAAACAAACCTGGGTGAATAACGTATGCGACAAATCGAATTTCCAATAGTTTAAAGTGAGTTGTTGATGACATGAAGGAAAAACGCGATCAATAAAGCGTACCAGATCGAGTGTTATTCTTTCTTTATTGATGCTTTGAAAACGAATTGATTTCAGTTTGGTGAAGCGAAGAAGCGATGAATCCAACTGTCCCTTATTCAATCGCCATAGATTTAGATTCGTCGGAAATGTAATATCAACCGGAAAACAACAGGGTATAGAACCGATAAAGATATGATTGTTCTCGTCACAAATAAGAAGTACAGGTGCCCGACGAGCATCGAGCCACCACTCATTCTGAAACTGATGCCATAGATCAATCATATCAATATTCATGTCGTCGTTGTCAAATTCAAATGCGAATGACAGTTTCTTGAGATGTCGACATGGTTCAAATATTGCCTGAAGACGACGTCCATCAATGAATAAATTAAATGATGGAATAAATAATGTTATTTGTTCGAGTGATAACTGATAGCAACGGACCAACCATTCGATAATCTCAACATGAATGTCGTCGATGGCACGAGTGCTCAGATGTAACTGAGTTAAAGATCCAAATTGAGAGATTATATTGAAGACATTATTCGGAAACAAAACATGTGTACTGCGTTCGAGGACTCTAACACGGAGAAAGGTCAGATTCGGTGTGAGACTACATAAACATAATAAATCTTTTTCAGAACAACGCCAGATATCTAAGCATGTGATAGCCAGACAAGGTCGAATATTAAAGATTCTGTAACCCTATACATTATGGAAGAACGAATGAGAAATTAATCGAAACATTTGTTTTACGCACCTGATCATCTTCCATTAATTCGATATCTCTATCATGAAACCATGAGTTTCTATTATATTCACGCTGAAGACTGCATTGAGCAAGGACGTTCAAACATGTGACAGCAGTTGCAAAAGCGCTATCATCTTCAACATTAAATTTTACAGTAAAGATCCTTGGTTGTTTGAGAATTATGGAAGTAAGATTTCGATAAAAGCTTTCATAGGGAAAGATATAGGGCAATAACTCGACTTTGAAAGAGATTTTTTCAACGGCATCGGTGATGCGCGGCATATATTCAAGCAACCAAGTATGTGGTATATCGTCGGGAATGAAAAAATTTCGAGTAGATTGGAAAACAATTGAATCAAATCGCTGGTTAAGTCCATAGAAGGCTCGAACAAGATCGAATGTTTGCAGATGAGAACCGATTGAAAATAAAAGTTCATTCGGCAACAGTTCCAGGTAACTACATAAATTTCAGTTCAGAGAGATTAAAAAACACTCACCGATGTGATTGAAACACGGACTAAAATAGTATTACCTGCCACGAACATGGACATCTATCTGATCATTGTATTTAACAATATCATTAACCAAAGGAATTTGATTTTCTTTAATAACACTAGGCATCATAGTTTCAATCGAAGTTGAAATAGAATTAGTAGCAGATAATTCCATAGTTAAACCACTGTCTTGATGTATTGCTTTCGACCGCTTTCGAACGATATCTTCTTCCACTAGTCGCGAGGATGATGTTCGTTTTGGAGCAACATCTCGTTCTTCCTTATCTCCTATCTTCGATGAGCTCATTCTTTTGACAATCTAAAATAAGAACTCACTTGTAAATCTAAAGTCATGTTCAACTTCTATTTTTGAAAAATCTTATAAGTGATGTAACTGTAATCTCCTGTTTATACTTTGTTCCTATAAAAAAACGTTCAGCGAAAAAAGTAAACGTTCAAGACTAACGCAAATGACAACTTTGGAATTGTACGCTTACTTATGTTTCTCATGCTGTTTTCCAATAGAAATGTTGGAGAAGAAAAGCATTTTTTAATTGTCTTTTCAGTACTAGACTTGTGTGTGGAATATGTACGAGGAAAAAGAGAGCTCATCAAAAACGAGAATAAAACGTGATTTAATGGCCGCCACGACGACAATGTTGACTCATAATATTACATTTTCTTTCTGTGCAATGGGTATTCACGACACGTTTTTCTTTCTTCCTTTGTGCTTGGCTTTTTCCCCTGAGAAAGAGAAATCAAATGAGTAATATTAAACGAAAGAAACAGTCGAAATCAAAAATTTCTTCATATCGTTACTGTTAAATGTGTTAATCACCGAAGAGTTACATTGGTGGAAATATCTTCAAGCCTTTTTACTAATAGAGAGAGGGTGAGGGTGGGTGTAGGAATGTGTAAAGTTTGTAATTTAGTATAAGTGAAGATCAGAATACTCTTACACTCACACCTACATTTGCAGAATATCATGAGATAAATAACAATTCTGTCTTTATTTTCTATTAAACAAACAAGTCAATAGTTTTATCAATAATGCCTAGCACTAATAGTTGTTCATTGAGGATTAAAAAGTATACTTGTCGCCTTAGTAACGAAAAGAACAGACATTGAAAAAACCGTATGCTTATTAGGTTTTTCTTTGTTCTTCTTTAATATCGAAGGTATAGTTTTCTTCAGTCTCGACATTCTAGTAAATGTACTTCAATGACATCATTAAAAAAAATGATATGATTATTCATACTTATGATTGTAATGAAATTAGAAAACGGAGAGATGTAAACTCTCTAAAGATGAATCATGCAATATTTCGAGTGAATCTTACTTTTCCTCAACTTATTATACAATCGTTGAAAACGAATACCAAAACATTCATTATTGGTGAGATCATACTATTACAAATGTGCGTATAAGAGAAACATCTCGATCAGATCATTCTCATGGAATGTCTATAAGTTTTCTTCTTGATTTGGATAAAGATGAAAAGTTTCGTATAAAAATTCTATTAAAATTAGAACAATTGATCTATACTGGATTGAGAAACGTTGATTCATTTGAAAATAAACTCAAGTAAAAATTAAGAAAGTGATAATATTAAATAGTCTTATAACGACTTCTTTGTTAAGTATGACATATTTGAACCGAAATCGGATTAAAAAATTGATCAACACGTTTTTCATTAGGAGTAACTCATGTGTGTATGTCTTTCTATGTATAGGTCATAACTGAATACAATACTTATTGCCTTTCAATATCTCAATCGTTAAGTGGAGATCTCGATGAATTTGTTGCTACAGTTATTGACAAACATAAATATATACATATTTCATTGGATGTTGATTCAAAAAATCCAGAAACAGGAATTCCATCACCTGGTACAACTGCTACAAGTGAATTAACATATGAAAAGATCAATGTATTTATTCAAACAATAGCAAATCATAATCAACTAGTTCCATATGATGTTACGGAACTCAATCTCGAATTAGAATTTGACAATATTACTGATGTAATCAAGTTCTATATTAACTGTTAATAATCCATATCAACTTTTTAATTGTCAGTCGTCTGTGATTCAATATAAATTTTTTAATAAAAATCTTATTCTAGCATTAAATATTTTCTTTAATAAAAACTCTTTATTCTAGAAAAATAGCTCTCTAATCAAACGACGGAAAAGTCCAAGAATTGCAGAATACACTCAACGACACAAGCAAATCTATAGTGTATTTTTAAGTTAGATTCGACGCCAAAAAACTGCTCGTCAAGACCAGTTCTCTAGAGGTCTAGTCATGTTCCAGAATGACACTTTTTTGTTTTGCTATTATCTCAAGATTCACAAGAAAGATATGTATCATTTAGAATTCGATTTTTGGACTTCTCATTCAGTTACAAGAAGATTTTGGCTCTTGTTTTTGCGTCACGTCACTAACACTATTTTTTCAAAAATTTTCAGCAAAACAATCACCAAAAGGTTGAATTTTTCAAGGTATCTAGAGTAACTCAACATACATTTTATACATAAAATTAGCTAAAACAAAGTAAAGAGTCCAGTACAGATGATCAACTACACAATGTCCTACTCCAACTCCATTCTAACTTTGATAAAAAAGAGTGTCACCTCTGGAGTTGCCTATCTCTGAAATCCAGAGATATACATTTTCTTATTTTACGAAATGACGACATCACTAACGAATGAAATCGTTCATATGCAATTTTATTCAAATCCAATTCTTTGTAAAACAATTTGCAAGAAAGTTAGAATGTATGTAAATTTCTTACTCAAAATTACTAATTCATGTTAATGATCATGAACTCTAAAATTGCTCTTCTTTTTTAACCAAACAACCCGTATTTTCTAAACTGCCCCCAAATGTCCTTGAGATAAATGCTATGCTTCTATCATCGATGGGCTCTGGTTTTTATTTTCTTTTCAAAATAAATAATGCGTAAAAAGGAAACTTCCATGTGACTTTAGGGGAAAAAACCTATGGTGTCAACATAATTTTCTTTTTTTCGTTTTCAAATACGACTTCAGGTTTTTTCCGTTTTTCTTTCCAATGAAACTCAATCGTGTCGAAGAACATCATTGGTGAATAACCAAGCGGACGTAAAATTTTTTCTTTCGTTTCTTATCAGAATATTTAACTTAATAATATCGAACAAAGAGTATAAAAGCATTATCAATTATTCTTTCCATGGATGGTAAAAACATTATTGTTCGTCATTTTCAATTTATACAATTACAATGATGAGTACAATTTTAACAAACTCAATAGAAAAACATCAGAATCTAGAAACATATTGTTTGATTTGGCTAGATAATTCAGTAAATAAGTCCAAAGAAAATATTTATGCTCAACAAATACTTCGAACATCGATTAATCATTTATTAACATTTGAAGATGATGAACTCTGTCTTCAATACATTGATGATCTATCCAATGATGATCGAGTTGTTCTAATAGTCAGTGGACGACTAGGTCAAACCATTGTTCCTCAAGTTGCATTCCTTCGAAAAATCGTTTCCATTTATGTTTATTGTATGGATAAAAAAGCCAATGAACAATGGACTCAACATTTCTCCAAAGTAAATATATTCAAGTTTATTATTTCTAAAAGAAAAGATAATGAACTTCAAATAAAATTCGTCTATTTTATATAGGTAAAAGGTGTCATCGTTCAATTGGATGAACTCATTGAACGAATTCAATCTGAACAAATTCAACGACAACATAATAAAGTTGATGAATCGTTAACTATCAATATTTTTAAATCAAAGATTCATGATTACGAACAATCATGTATGGAAATAAATGGTCAATTTATTCATTCTCAGTTATTAATTGATTGTCTTATTCGAATGGTACCAACAGTAAATGATAAAAAAGATTTTGTTTGTCTTTGTCAGCAACATTATCAAAATAATTCAACCGAATTAAGTATTGTTGAAGAATTTGATAAACATTATTCATCTAATCGAGCAATATGGTGGTATACTCGTGAATGTTTTCTCTATCGATTATTGAATAAAGCACTTCGAGTACAAAATATTGATTTATTATTTTTATTACGATTTTTTATTCGTGATATTGGACAACAATTAGAGATTAATAAATGTACATCACCAATTCGAGTTTATCGAGCACAACAAATGTCAAAAGATGAAATTGAAATATTGAAAAATTCTATTGGAGAATATATATCGATGAATTCATTTCTTTCTACGAGTCTTAATCGACAGCAAGCTCAAGTATTTCTCTATTCTACTAATCCTACAGACGATATTGAACAAGTCTTCTTTGAAATTGATGCTGATCCTCAATTGAATAATATCAAAGCATTCAGTAAGATTACTTCGCTTAGTTACTTTCCAGAAGAAGAAGAAGTTATTTTCATGGTTGGATCAATCTTTCGACTTGATAGCATTCAATGTAATAACGAGAAAATCTGGAATGTTCGAATGATATTATGTTCTGATGATGATCATCAATTACAAACACTCTTTCAACACATGAAAAATGAATTAGGTACTGAACAAACTAACCCTCTTGTATTTGGTCATGTCATTCGTAAGATGGGCAAATTGGATGATGCTGAGAAATATTATCGTTGTTTTCTCGATCAGTTTTCTTATGATGATTTAAATGTAGCTCATTGTTATCATGCACTAGGACTAGTAGCAGATGATAAAGGTGATTATGAATCAAGTTTGATATGGTATAATAAATCGCTTGAAATGTTCATGCGAACATTGAAATCAAATGATCCGAATATTGCTACTTCTTATAACAGTATTGCTATTGTTTATCAACGAAAAGGTGATTATATACATGCATTAGAATCATATGAGAAGGCACTGTCGATTTGGAAGCAAGCTTTTGGTGAGGATCATTCTTGTATAGGTATATGTCTTAATAATATGAGTAATGTATATCGAAATGAGAAGAAATATTTAAAAGCACTTGAATGTGTAGAAAGAGCGTTGATTATTCTCCAAAAACATCTTCCTGTTGACCATTCAGACTTAGCTTCATTATATGGTAGTATTGGTAATATTCATCTTTGTCTCGGTCATCATGATCAGGCATTACAAAATTATAATCTTTCCCTCAAAATCTACAAAAAAACTCTTCCTCCTCAACATACTGACATTGCCATGACACTCTATAATATTGGAACTGTTTATGAAGATAAAAATGAATATCAACAAGCACTTTCCTATTTTAAACAAGCAGCAGATATTTATCGTCATACGTTACCTTTAACACATCCTAAGTTGATTCAACTTGAACAAAGTATCAAACATATTTCATCAAAATTGAAATAATTTCTTTTTCTTTTTTTATTTATTCTAATATTGATAAAAAGCTGTATATGTAATAAATATCATAGTAGGATTAATGATTTAACAAATACTAACAAAAGAAAAACATCAAAATATTTCTGTTGAATGTTGATGTTTGTTGTGCAAAAACCTCTTGTTGTAACTCATATTATTTATGTTCTCTAAACGTGCACGGAACATAGCATGTAAAGATAAATTATGAGCAAGTAACATCATTTTTTTTTCAGTCAACACAGAGGCTTCTTTATATATTCATATTATAACAATTTTTTTTTATCGATATGTTGATCTTCAGTTTTAAAGCTATTTTTATAATTCAATGCTTGAGAGTTGGATGCTTCTGATTTAGTAGGCAAAAATAAAATTTATTGTCAAACAAATTTTTTCAAAGTCACCATTTAGTATTTATTAAATGTACAACGGTAATCTACATTTCATGATTAATCTTCTACTAGCAGTGAACCGTTTTCTATATACTTTCGTCCTTTAGACAATATTCATGTTAATGAATAACTCACTGTTCTAATAAAAGAATAGATGTCATATCATTTATAATTTACATTTATGAACGGATTTTGTCTTTTATATTTTCTATTGATTTTCAAAGTTTTGTTCTATGCACATCGAGATATTGATTCTGTGCCATTATTAATTTAGTTCTTTAGACAACTTTGTTGATATTATTTTCTCTAATATATATTTCGGAAGATTTGATTAAATTTTATGTAGAAAATCTGTAAATTGACGTAGTAACTAATTTTGTCAATAGTTGTTTTATATTGTTTAATTGATAGAGTGTAAATATTTTTTAATTTTATCGCTTCTTTATGTATTTTCATACTTTAAACTTGCATCATCGATTTTTGAATACTGTGAATATCAACCGATGATCCTTGACTACGAACGAATTTTCTGACAAGATACAATTGCCGGATCACTTGTTCTTATGAGGAAATCTTATAAACTGATCGATCATTTCTGAGATGAGTCTTACTTCATTAGGTAGGTTCTATTGAAACTAGAGAAATATAAAAAGAATCCGTACTCACGAATTTCTCTTCTTGTGTTATGGATATTTTTATGAGTTTTTTTTTCAACACTATATCATAGTTTTCCTCAGATCACCTTCAAAATCTGATTTTCAAGTTCACAAGTTGCACAAATAAATCTTTCAATGACACTAGTTCATTTTGAAAGTATGAGATTTTCTAGTATATCCTATTGTCCGATGCCGATATTGAAAGTTCTGTTATGTGAAAAAGTAAACTTCGATCTTATATTCATATATTAGGTAATGGAGTAAGACTCATCTCGAAAAACGATTTATCAATTTTTGACGTTCTCTCGTTCGTTATCTAATGATTAATTGTAAACCTTCTTTTATATTCCGCATTTCTTCAAAACCAATGATAGAAAATGTACCTATTTTCATCGCAAAAACTTATATGTTCTACAAATTCTTCTTGCACAACTATTTTAAATAGCTTAATGAACATTGATTAAACAGATTTATCTTAACAACAAATTTGTCAGTTGAGAGATACATTAAAAACAAAAATTTTTGTTTCATTTTCTATACAAAGACGTAGTATCGAATACGTGATTATCTCAACAATGACATCTACTTTTCTGAACACATTTTGTACATCAATTAACATATATATATATATATATATATATGTATATTGGACCGATTACCAGTAGAGTTTTGCAACATACCATCAAATTTTGCAATTACTTCTTCAGGAATTTTTTTATTTATAAAACATTTTTACATATTGACAGAACAAAGATCGTTAGTCAGAAAAATTTCAATAGCTTTTCATGTTCATAGATGGATTATCTAAAGTAAAGTAGTTTTTGAAATGTAGTGAGTTTCTCTTTCAAAATTGAAATTGAAGAAATATAAAGATTTTTCCCCTAATCATTCAATTAAATCTACATATATACAGTGGCAAAATTTAGTTTGCATATCAATGTATGCGTGTCCACAGCTTTTGTTTGGTTCTGCTTAGGAGGGAGGGAAAAGTTAAAGGAGAAAATCTCCTAAAACAACAGAAAAATTATTCATTCATCAGGTTTTTTTTCACAAACATATGTTCTCGTCTAAAAGGATGTAGGTGTGGATGTTCTTCAACCATATCCTCCGCTATTGGGGAAAGGAAACAAAATGGGCCCATTTAAAACTTTATAGCTTCATCTAAAAAATTGACTGTGCCTCACCTGTGTTATTCTACGAATGTGTTGTAAGCATCATATCCAGAAAAGTTCACTATATCACTGTTTTATAGAAACTATTGGAACCTTGCGTATTTTAAGATAAGATCTTCATCGAATATGTAATAAACTACTTGGTCGAAACATGTTTAGTAAAAGGATATTTGAAGTTAATGTCCAGATATTGAGCTGGATTTTGCACATAATATTCTATAGTATCTATTCAATGAATTTTAGATATGTTGATAATCAAATCATACTTTTGATGCTTGTCTAATCTTCTGTCTTTTTAATATATTACTCTTCAACGTATGATCCGATTTAGTTTCTCTTTGACAAAAAATTAGAATAGTGCTTTTTTTTACTCAAATATTTAATTTAATTATAAACGAATTCTTTTTCAATTTGTTTTTTTGAATTCAATTGAATTATTTATTTGATGTTATTATATTTCATGTTTCGACGTGGTAGTTATTATCATTTTTTGTATTCTAATTCAATATCAGAAGATGATCAGAATAGAAAATCTCAGCTGACTAAATTGCAATTAATTAAACTTATAATTTCTTGTGCTCTTCCTCTTGCCATTTCTATATTTACTCTTATAACAATACTTCAAAATCGTCAAATAACTCAATAAAATCGTGAACAAGATGTACTAAAAAGTGAAAAATATATTTTATTATTTCTTAAAGAAAGTTCATTATTAAATGAAGATGAACAAAGTTTATTAGTTGGAGCAAATTTTAATAGAATTAAAATTAATCATAATGATTGTATTTTTAAAAATATTATTTTTTCTGATATTTATTTTCAACAAACAGTTAATATCGGAATCATATTTTAATAGTTCAGCATTAAGTTATAAGGATTTTCGTCAAGTTAAAATAGATTTTGTTAAATTTTATAATGTTAATGTAATAAAAGCGACGTTTTTCGATAATTCTACTCAAATGCAATATTTACTCATTCGAAATTCTTTTTTACCAAATGGTACATTTTCACCAATTGATGATATTGATGTTATTTCTAATTTGTGTACATCTTTTGAGAAATGGTCTCCGATATCGATTGATGGTATTCGATAAATAAGAAGGCCTTTTATTGATCGTTCAGTACTTGCTGATGCAGAACCAGCTGACTTCTTATTTGAATTAAAACAAACAAATACAATGATGTACGTTTCGATGATAATTATTTTTTCTTTTTTTGGTGTAGAACATGATGTGTTTGAAACACGACAATTTGGTAAGTTAAAGGTAAAAGTATTTTTATATTGCAAGAAAAAAAAGGTAAACCTACAAATTTTGAAACTCTTCTGCCAGATATTAGAAATTCCAAAGCAAAATTCATGTTTTAACGATGAAATAGATTGAAGTGATTCGCTTTTTTTAAAACTCATATTTTGAATTTATCGAGAGAATGTCTACACTAGAATAATCACAGAAGGATTCGGACTGATAGACCTTCTTTATAGAGTTACGATAGCTTTGCTGAATGTTTATCGTAGCATAGAGTATTGACAAAGAAAAATTTCTCACTTGAAATTTTGTGTATAAATAAATCTCGTAATCCTAAAAATATAGTAAAAGTTTTAATGAAAATAATTGCTTTCTTCTTGAAAGATTGAATGCTCAAAAACTGATTAGATTTTATAAACGGTTAGAAAATTTCGAAGTTTTTGAATATTAAATATTTCAAGAATAAAGAAATTGTTTTGACTGAAACTTGCAGAATATTCTTAGGATTATGAGACCCATTCGTAGACAAAATTTCAAAACAGAAATCCTTGTACAGTGTTCCTGCTAATCGCTCGATTCTTTGATAAAAATTCAGCAAAACTGTCTAGATGTCTCCTCTCTATATCGAAAATATAAGCTTACACACGATGAAGTCAGTAGAAAGAGTGCAAAAGTCTACACAACATAGGCTATTTTCCTGTTGTCATAAGTTAATCCGAAAAAATTTGAAAACATGGTCTCATAAAGTGGGTAAAGTGACGTCTCATTCTGCTGCAAAAAGGAGAAAAGTTAGAGAGATAGCAAAAGGCATGTTTTCAACTATTTTTGAATTCATTTGCGACAACAGGAAAATAGCCTATGTTGTGTAGAACTTTGCACTCTTTCTACTGACGTTCTTGGAGAAAAGTTTATGTGTTTTTGACATAGTCTTTAGAAAAAAGATTGTTAGAATATTTTTTCATAATTACCAAGAGCCTCAAAGTCTTTTGTCAAAACATATGTAGTCTATGGAGATTTTGATGCTCTTTCCAATAGTATAGTTTAAAGTCTGTCTCGTTACATAAAAGAGGTGAAAACTCATTTTTCTCGAACTATATAGTGGGTAATATTGAAATTTTACTTTTTAATCATTTAATTTCTTAAACTGTAGAAAATTTAAATTAGGTTTCGAAGATCTTTTTTTCTTCAGTATGTAGCTGGATGGCTTCTCTTGGCAATGGATGCTGAAAAAGAACTATTTGAGTTGACAACCCTAGTATTAATTCAATATTTTTATATTTAAGGGATGCTATAATTATGAAACAGATGAGATTCGGAAGTTTTTGAATTTATTCATTAACACTAATTGATCAAATTCAATCAATGTCACTGATGATAGGCTACTACTATGTATCCATATATATGATATTAGATCGAGAATGAAACTTTCTCTAGTTGAAGAAATCTTTGTTATTTGCAAAATTTCATAGGAAGTGCTATAAATTTGGGATCCTTCTATATATAATGTGTGATTCTTCGTAAAGAAATTATGAAAAAAATAAATCGAAAATGCGAATATATCAATAAAGTATACTTGTAATGGACGAATATAAAATTTACCTGAAACTTCGCAACTGTCTTTTATGAAATCATTTGTCTCAAAATATTATTTTTGTAGATTGATTGTTTCATAAATTGTTGTTTTCTCTACGTTTATTTGAAATTCTAAGAAGAAAAGTGCCTATTAACATGAAACTGTGAGGAAGTGAATATTGATTAAGAAAAGTAACATTTTTCAAGCACACATTCACGATTATATTTACGATTATATAACTATTTTCAATAGTTATTAAATTCGTATCGAAAGTTTAGCCATCAAAGTTCTTAATAGCCATAGAGTTCTACTTCGCTGTAGGCAACATAGTCATTGTTATTTCTCTTAGCAGTAACAAGAAAGCGATAACTTCTAAAAGTTTGAAGTAATGATATAGTTTGAAACGGTGCATAGATAGAACGATCTACAAAACTTTCTAAACCTGTTGGTCCATCGAGATAGTTGTTCAAGTGGTACAATTCACCAAAGTATCACAGTTAGTTCCTTCTACTGTAATTTCAGTTGGATCACGGGTAGGTGAAAGATGAATTGGCGGCAGTAGCAAAACGAAATTTAACGAAGATTGATTGACATTGTGCAATTGTAAGATAAAAATCGGCATTGAGACCAGCGTATGCATTGGTTCCAGAACTTGAACTACTTCGACTCATATATGTAGTATTAGTTTTATTATCGAATAAATTATCCGAAGACTAATTAACAACATATATTCCAACACCTAATGAACTTTCTGTAGCAATCGTTCTAACTCCACCTGCAACCGTATTCCATAGAGGTTGCACAGATCCAGATTGTATGACAAATAAAAATGTTGAATCTATGAAAGAAAATAAGAGTAAATAATAAGTTCACCTAAAAAGATCAAACAAAGGGTGTGGGTGTGGGTGTGAGGAATAAGAATACCCACACACACACCCACATTCTAGTATCCATATATATTTATATAACCTAGCTAAATATTTTTTTCTAAAATTCTTCATCGCTCTGGCTAACTGCTTCATAGGCAAGTTTCGGAAGGAGAAGAAACAAGTAACTTCACATTGCAAAGTTTTCAAGTTCATCCCAATTAACTGAACATGCAAGCGTATCGTATACTAATATGAATTTTACAAAAATATGACAAATCGTAAACACCTTAATCTCTCCATTACATTTCAATCTGGTTTTTTTTGTGGCTACAAATAATGCATAATGTCTAACATTCAAAAGATAGAACCATTTCTTATTCTTTATACCAAATATGACATAAAGTGGATCGTACTTCCGCAAACAATACATAATCAATATGAAATACTGACTATTCAAGACATTCATGGTTTCCAGTTATCATTGGTAATCAATAATAAATATCACCATCTACCCTTACATCAGTTCCATTTACCTTCATTGAATGAATCAATGTAGGCTAATACAAGCATCTTAACACACCTATGTACAAAAAAAGATATTCATTTCTTATAATAAATCTCAAAACGATCCTACTTCCTATTTACTCATTTCAAAATTCCAAAAACTTTCCATTAAATTATCACAGACATGATTTCTACATCTTCTCTTCTCCGACCCCATACAAATACATAATGATTGTACGGAAACGCATAGTATATTCTGTCAATAACAATTTCGTTATCAAACTACGACTGTAAAAAAGACTCTCTTGGTCTATATACTGCAAACATTATTGTATTACAAAAATCGAATATCAATGATAATTAAAAGTTATACAGCTCTCTGCGAGAAACACGAAGATTAAACAAAGTTAAAAGATTGGAACACTTTTCTAGTGCTCGATAACATTAGAAACAGAAATTTGATTACATTCGAGCAAAACTATCACAACCATCATTTATCGTTCCGTAACCATAATCACATTCAAGACGACTAATCTATAACACATCAGAATATTACGGAATTTCGAACATTTCGAGAGCATTTTGACGCTACTCAACAAGCCCATGGCTCGTACCTACGGCTTCAAAGTCGATCGAAAGCCAACAAACAAGAAGGTAGCAGTTCCATCGCTAACTACAAACACAGAATCTTCCAATCTTACGACAGTCCTACGATCAAGAACCGAAACTTTCCATAAAAATTCTCTTCCATCTTCTAAAAACTATCAAACGATTACTATCCGTTCTAATAGTGTTTGCAAAACTCACTGATAATGGTGGTTGTTGTCGTGATTGTCGAGGTAGTTTCAGTGGTGGTAGTAGGCGTTTGTTCGAAAATGAGTTGTCAGATTTGTTGTTGTATTGGATCCTGTTCGCATTCAATATGAAAGTTGATTAGATGTAATAGAAAAGTAGGGACGTTGTTATTTTCAACATTGGATTTGATTGCCAGATCGTAGTTTCGCCGTTTGGTGGCAGTGAATCTATAAAGTGTTTATTGTGAAGTTGTTTTAGAACTGTTACGATAGAAATTTGCTTCTGAATACCGAAAATGTGTTTGTAGAAAAGCGCACTGTTATCAGCTGAGGCGAAGTACTTCCATTTGTGGAAAAATCGGCAGTCCAATGCTGTTGCTTTTATTTTTCATGGGATTGCAGATCGTTAAGATTGGTAAGAATTCGGTTACTGTATCAGAAATGAAATATTTCACTGTTTAATGGCTCATACAAACGCTTTGTTAGCATTTGCTGCTATGAGTGAAGTTCTATGGTTGACAAGAACAATGTAGCAAGTTAATGACACTTTACAATGAGATTCGTGGGGAGCTAACAAATTTTCATCAGAATGGAAGTAAATGAAAGGATGAACGCAAGGATAGTATATGGAGTAGGGGTGAGAAAGTTATTGTTATTTTTTTTTGTTATTATAACAATAACATTCACTTTTTGATTCAAAAACATTAATGAAACAAGTGTAAGCATAGTTTGTGCGTACGTCAAAAAATCACTTTATTCATACAGTATCTTTATTACCATTTGATATAAGAATCAGTCGTAAATACATTGAGAAATCGTAAAATAACTTTTTTTGTTATTGTTATACAATAATAACAATAATAATAACAATAACAATAACAATAACAAAAAAAATTATTTTAGGATTTCTCAAAATATTTACGACTGATTCTTATATCAAATGGTAATAAAGATACTGTATGAATAAAGTAATTTTTTGACTTACGCACAAACTATGCTTACACTTGTTTCATTAATGTTTTTGAATCAAAAAGTGAATGTTATTGTTACAATAACAAAAAAAATAACAATAACTTTCTCACCCCTAATATGGAGTATACTAGACAA